CCCAATAAATACTTTTATAGTTTTAATGTGCATTCAAAGGACCCTGTTTGTTAAATTGATAGAAATGAATAGTTTTATTATCGGAAAAAAACTGAGAAATATCTACCCGATTCGCCAGAATAGTCATCATCATATCAGTGCGAAAAATTAGCTATATTTATTTTCTATCCGATATACACCTGATATTGATAGCCTTCCACGATCATGGTCCGTTGACATCATCAACCTTGTGATTTGCCATAAGTGATTAACCAACATTTTTTAATTAAAAGTCGGGGTTGACGTTTCTTGACTTTTCACACTTACATCAAAACATAATTTGAAAATAAAAGGCATAAAATGGCCATTAAAAGTACATTTTTGAACAAAAGTATCAACTTATATTACACTGCACGCAAATACAAAGTGAAAAGAACGTCTTCCCGGAGATTGAAATACGGATCGGTAAGTCAACAAATCTAACTGTTAAATAAACAAGCTTAGCCTATGTCTGCGATTGTTTGTCTGAGTGGCCAGATGTTATCCGTTTCGGATAATAAATTTCTGAGAATACTACTGATATCTAGAATACATCTTTCGTGATATTTTTCATAAAACTACCCTTTGCATTCGTTCGACTTCACTTCTTAAAAGAGAGCTTCGTCTTAGTGTATACGTAGTTTAACTAGACTCTGCACGCAGGGTATCATAAAACAGGCATCTTAGCTGCAATTTTGAATAATTGCGTAATTCATAGTACAATATAAATTAACCCGCCTCTGTTTAATTCAAATATGCATTACCCTTAAGATTTATATACTTAGACACCTTTTCATTCTTGATTCGGATTTTTATCTTGTCTTCATCTAAATCTGTGGATTAATAACAGTTTTTAGTATACAAATTGAACATACAAAATGTAGCGTATTGATTACACGTTACAGTGGCGTAGCCAGCTTTCAGTCGGGGGGGGGGGGGTGCGATCGTGGCATTAAAAATGTTTTTGAAGATTTGTTTTGAATTTTACAAAAATTGGTGCAACTTCGTTCAAAATCGAGCTAGAAGCTTCAAAAAAAGCATTTTAAGACTTTTCTCTTCTTTCTAATGGTTCTATTTTCATTGGTTATGGAGGGGGGGGGTGCGATCGCATCCCATCGCATCCCCCTGGCTACGCCTATGCGCTATATTAATATAACAAGGTTATCAATATCATGCCAATAGTTACCCTGCGTGCAGAGTCTACATGTAGTTAAACTACAAGACGAAGACGAAGCTCTATTTTAAGAAGTGAAGTCAAACGAATGCAAAGGGTAGCCAATAGTTAGATGGTTAACTAATATTAACACAAAATAATAATACACGATAATCAAAAAAATAAACCTCGGTATTCGGGCCTAAAATCCAAGGATACGTGTACCATTACTTAAGTGTAAGCTGCAATACCATATCGGATACCTGTACCATTACTCAATAATAACCACTAGTAAGACCATAATAACAAGCTTAATAACCATCTTATTGCAATTTATTCCATACGATTTTGTCTTGTGTCACCAGTGTATATACAGGGTGAGATAATTCATATTATGGCATCAACTTTGACAAGTTGGTTCATCCAGTTGTCAGGTAAGAGATTTTCAAGTAATTCATTTTCTTCCTGATCTTCAACGTTTGGTGTAATGGTGTCATCAACTGGTTCAAATTCATTGTCGCTCTCATCAACATCATCGTGCTGATGGGTTGGTCAGTTCTCACACACACCTTTGCGGCACTTACATGAACTTCCACAAATGAGATCTTGTTTCTTACAACTACATTTCATTGAGTCACACGCTCCTTTACAACTACAAGCAACAAGCTCCATTATTTCTTGTGGGGCAGGACCGTTTTCCATCCACTTAATTTGTAGTTTATTCCCTTTGAATGTCCAACCATGTAATGTGGGGGATTGATAATCAATCATTGATTTGCTTGCGTTTCGCCAAATATAGGCCTGATAGTTGGCTCTATTTATATGGAGAATGAGAGCATCCTTTGTTGGTGGTAAATGCTTTGACTGTATTTTATATTTATCTACAAACTTCCAAGATGGCCGCCAGAATGCAAGATGGCTATCGGAAAGTTAATCAGCTCTATAACTTCTTACCATGTAACATGTGTGAAAATTTGAAGTAAAACTGTTACGTGGTTTTCATGGAATCGTGATAACAAGATTTATCTAAAAACTTCCAAGATGGCCGATGGAATGCAACATGGCCACCGAAAAGTTAGTCAGCTCTAGAACTTCATACCATGTAACATGTGTGAAAATTCGAAGTAAAACTGTGAAGTGGTTTTTCTGGAATCGTGATTACAAGATTTATCTATAAACCTTCCAAAATGGCCGCCATAATGCAAGATGGCCACTGAAAAGTTAATCAGCTCTAGAACTTCATACCATGTAACATGTGTGAAAATTTGAAGTTAATCTGTTAGGTTGTTTTCCTGGAATCAAGATGACAAGATTTATTCCTTAATTTCCAAGATGGCCGCCAGAATGCAAGATAGCTGCCCAAAAGTTATTCACCTCTATCACACTACTATACCTAACACCCAGAAATGCATAAGATACTTTGTTTGTCTTATTGGATTGTTTAGTATATTTTTGAAAGTACCTTATCAACATCTAACTTTCAACCGATAAACCATTAATAAGGAACAGACAAATAAAAACAAATATATTATCATTACTAATAAGCCAAATGGGTTGCTCATGAAAGCCAAATGCAAGGTATAGTAGAGTGCTATATTTTCTTTCCATGTAACATGTGTGGAAATTTGAAGTAAATCCGTTTGGATTTCCTGAAATCGTGATGACAAGATTTATCTTAAAACTTCCAAGATGGCTGCCAGAATGCAAGATGGCCACCGAAAATATAATGAGGTCTAGGACTTTTTACCATGTAACATGTGTGAACATTTGAAGTACATCTGTTATGTGTTTTTTGTGGAATCGCGATGACAATATTTATCTGAAAAAATTTCCAAGATGGCCGCCAGAATGCAAGATGGCCGCCGCAAAGTTAATCAGCTCTAGAACTTCTTACCATGTAACATGTGTGAAAACTTGAAGTAAATCCGTCTGATGGTTTTCCTGGAATCGTGATGACAAGAAAGTGAGACTTCAGAATGCCACCTTGTCTAACCCCGTTTTGGTGCCTTTTGCCCCTGTTTACATCAATAGAATGGGTGTTTTCTTTAAGAGGGAAGTCTGTTCTTTCAAACGGTACAATCATTTTATGTGGGAAAGTACCGGACAACAAAACTTTTTTTCAGAGGGTCCAGATCAGGGACTATAGTTCATTCATGCACACTTAAGTATTTCACGTGATTATTTTAGATGCGACATATTTTGTTATTTATACCAGTATCCACTTCATAGGACCTACATTTTCAACTTATATGGTCTTGACTCTGGGTTCCGCTGTCAGACATCCAAATCGAATGATTTAGAACAGTAAGCTTAGTATGTGATAACTATATTTTTGCCATCTTCTTTGAGGGTCCAAGTTTTGATGCCTCGAAGGAGGATGCCAAAATATGTTGGCAACTACTAAATGTAGCTTCTTGCACTTGGTCATTCAACATTCACATGAGGTTACAAATTGTAGTGCTAGTTCACTGATTTTTTTCTACAAACACCGGATAAGGTTAAACGTGTTCCATCACCAAATTTGTCCGTCCCTATGGATTGCATTTTTTAATGGAAAGCATTGTTTCACACCGCTTTGCTGCTCATTTGCTGGGAAAGGTTGGAACCATTTTTCCTATTGCATTTTGGTATAGATTACAACACTCTAAATGGATGCAAACTAGACTGTTTAAGCACTTTTTATCTACTGGCCCGGAGAATACATATCGGGCAATTAAATTCACGAACGTTTTTGTTCTGTCAAAGCTTTTGTTCTGTTAAGAAACTATATATCATGAGGTTATTCAATGATTCCAGTGAAATACAGAAAATATTCTTCCCTAGAATGTCTGTATTTCAAGGAAAGAATATTTTATTTAATTCACGAGTAATCATTGAATAACGTTTTCATTCCATAATTACTCATATAACGCCCCCCCCCCCCTAATCAAGTCCATTTCCCTGGCTTGGGACCGGAGAAACAGATCAATCTTCTAACCTCATAGATATTTTTGATCCCATTCTTTCGGCCTTGTTTTTTATTTTTCATTTTGTCTTTTACAATTTCATCAGCTAGAAGTGCAGTCTGTATCCAACGCTAAGTGGAAAGTGCGTGTAAATACAGGATATATTTAAGTCACATTGACCAATCAGATTGCAGGAAATTTCCCAATAATGGAATAAAACAAAATAACCCATTGTAAATCTAATAAAAGATGTTTCACGCAACATATGAAAATGTAGGTCGAATAAGGTAGATACCCGCGTTGATAAAAAAAATATGGTGCATGGCATGCAAGGAACTAGTTCGGTGTCCTTGTAAGGAATACATTACGAAACAGGTGCACATATTTGAAAATGCTAAACGGTCGATTGATCTAAGATATCATTTGAATATTAGTCGATCTGGCCTTATTTCCAAAGACGAAACTCTGTCGACATATCTGCTTACAATTAACGAATTACATATTAAAATAAGTATCATCTAATAAAATAGATTTTCGGATATATAAATTAATAAAAGATGATTTATTACGTCCGTTTCAAATTGTATGACTATTCTTTTTATTGTGGCATATTACTGTGGTAGATCTCAAAAGATCTGAAATTCTAGCAGACATTTGAAAAGTGTGTTGGCATTTTATAGTGTATTAGATTTTACTTTGTCAAAAAAATATGTGAAAACCTCTGTTTTACATCTATTGTGATTGCAACCTTACCATACACTGAAGTTCGAAAATAGAGTATATAGAAGGCCGTAAGGCCATTTTGTATCGGTAGTTTACAAAAACGTTCTTCTGCTCACATTCAGAAATGCTGGTTAAGGTCAGATATAATTCTGACCATTTACCTGACCAGATCCTTCATTAGTTACGTTAATAAGACTATAACACACGGCAACGCCGGATTCAGACGTTCGTATAAAACTGTTATCCATCTGTATATCAGCCAATGTACATGCACAAGCAGGTGTGTTTGGCACAATCACTTCTCTTATAAAACCAAGGTCTTCGCTGGCCAGCCAAGCCTCACATGTGTAATCCCTTTGGGAGATCAAGGGATACAACCAAACTCCGGTTTCTATAACAAGACAACGAGATGCTTCATTAACAATAGCCATTTGTAAAGAAAAAATAATTCTAATTCCCAGTTTAAGTGGATCCATACTACGTACATCTCAGATAGAAAACTGATTCATCTTAAGATATTTTCGATCATACTTGTATAATGCAATAAACCTATGTTACAGTCTGGTTATTTTAGGTAGATGTCGTTTAAAACTTAGTTTGAAGGAGTAGTTTGTGTATCAATAAATCATTATTAACGTATTCTTCCAAAAATCGAGGGTCTCCTTTTTTCAATTATGACAGGTTGCAAAATATATTTGTTTCAATTTCCTGTCTGTTCTGTAATACTTTTAGATCTTTTAGCTTGAAACTTGTGCTAACATGTTGAGTAAGTACAACTACTTTTACGTGTTGAATAAGTACATATTTTATACATATTAATGAGTAAGTACACCTACTTATGTTTCCTTCCATTGTTGCAAATCTGTTAAAGCCACGTGTTCCTGATGCTGGGATAACATATTCTATATGTCCAGGCTCAGAGGTCACACCTGCATACACTGCTGAGTGTTCAATCGATGTACCTACATATATGCTTAAATATAAGATATTCTATATGTCCAGGCTCATAGGCTACACCTGCATACACTGCTGAGTGTACAATCGATGTACCTACATATATGTTTGAATATAAGATATTCTATATGTCCAGGCTCAGAGGTCACACCTGCATACACTGCTGAGTGTTCAATCGATGTACCTACATATATGCTTAAATATAAGATATTCTATATGTCCAGTCTCATAGGCTACACCTGCATACACTGCTGAGTGTACAATCGATGTACCTACATATATGTTTAAATATAAGATATTCTATATGTCCAGGCTCAGAGGCCACACCTGCATACACTGCTGAGTGTACAATCGATGTACCTAGATAATATGTTTAAATATACAGGGCGTTCAATAAGTATTGCTAATTTTGTTATTTCTTTTGTTATCTTGCATATTTCTTCATGAAACTTTTACAACATAAGCACCATATATCTGACCTTATTCTGTTCAAATTTCTGGACAACCGACATAGTATTGACTAAGTTATGGTTACTAGGGTAATCATTGTCATGGATACGCAGGGCAACCTTAAGGGTTTACATGGTGAATTATTGTTATACATCAAATAAACACTTTGATGAATAAAAACTGTTGATATGGTCAAATCTTGATGTTGTCAGTTTGAATTATATGTATTATTTAACAGTGGTGAAATGACATCTGAAAGGAATATCGCACTAGAATCTCAATCAGTGGATGTCTGCAGTGAACACTGCACATCCCTAGCCACACACTTCTGTTATGACCCGAGGGCACCCCAGGGGAATGACTAACTAACGAGCATAGTGTAACAAGCCAGATAAAGAAATTGAAAGAAAGTGTGCTAAATTCAATGCCCTGTGTGGGAATCGAACCTAGGACCCTTGAATCCAAAGACTGATGCTCTACCCACTGAGCTATAAAGGCTTAAGCCACTACAGCTGGACTGTAGTCGCAACTTGCTATCAAGGGTCGTTACACTTCAACGTCCTCAAAGAGCAATACCGACCTATACGGTCCACCAGGATAACGCCCCTGCTTACAGATCCTCTATTGTCCAAAATACAATAACAGAGCTTGGCATGGAAGCATTGCCCCATGCAGCATATTTCCCAGATAAGGCCCCGCTTGATTTTGTTGTATTCGCCCCAGTGAAAATGGATCTGAGAGGAATATCGCACCAGAATCTAAATTAGCTGATGTCTGCGGTGAACACCTCCCTAGCCACACACTTCAAGGGTGGCTTCAAAAATGTGTACCACGAGTGGGTCGCCAGACAGCAACTGTGCATTTACGCTAAGGGTGCCTGCCTATTTTGAGCACCTCATGAAGTTAATATGGATCATGAAGTGACTCTGGAATGTATTATTTATAACTGCACTGCATATTCCAAGAGTTAAACAACATTAAATGATACTGCTTTCATCACTCAAAATGTCGTCCAAAGTGAGGTCAGAAATTTGCCCCGCATATCCATGATACTGGTTACCTTAGTAACCATAACTTTCTTAATAATGATTCGATTGTCTTGAAACTTTCATAGAATAAAGTCAGATGTATGTACCTTATGTTGTGAAAGTTGCATGAAGAAAAAACAAACAGGACAAAAGTTAGAGCAAAATTAGCAATACCTATTGAACGCCCTGTACATATAGTATTCGATTGGTCAAAAATAATTGATAATATGGTTACTTAACTTTTGAAAGGCGGTTCACTTTATGTCAATGCAATTTGCCATTACAAGAATCTAGCAATGCTTGCTAATTGAGTAAATGTTCTTAAATGGTTAATGTAGAACAGTTAAATGACATCACAATCACTGCTTTAGTGAACTTTGTATCACATATGATTGACCATGACATCATCAAACAAGGTGGCAATTGAGATGTTAAAATATGACTGAAATTCCAGAAAAGCCTTACGAATCAAAGCTGCAGATAGATTTTTGAATAAATGGACGTTGAATCAGATTCAGATGTTGGATGGTGACGAAGCTATTATGAGGCAAACCTTGATTTTGCTGTTTTGAACAGAATAAAGGATGAGTTAAGACATGTACGGATCGGCACAATGCAAAAACTTTCAACTGCAAGCCAGATGTTCCTTCGGACAAGCCATTTTTACCAATGTTTTTTACCAATGTTGGTGTTATTTAGAAAATGTATTTACAAAAACTATATGAGTATTCATCTGTGGATATGGCATATGATACAAGATGAGCCAAGAAAATTAGAGAATTATGTGTAATATACTACTTGAAAGAGCAGATATGGAACAAATTGTGATTGATATACAATTATTTTGGTTGAAATCTTTAATTATTTTGATAAATGATGCAATTATTAAAATTAGGAAATTCCAGTTCCAAAGGCCTACTCAGGTATTATTCGTCTTCACCAACCCCTAACACATAACTTACCCAAATTCTTCGCACCAGCTGACTTGGACATACTGTAGTCCATTATGACATATGTTAATCCACCATTTCCTGTTACTAAGGCCAACTGAACAATGACAATCTAAAAGCAAAAGAAATCGTTGTAGCAGAGTTAAATTTTCACTAAAAAAATAGATGTTGGCATTGGGTTATCAGGGGGCCACTGATTAAGATGGATGAATCAATACGTCCTACACAGTTATTCCTGGTCTCATATTCAGTTCATTACATTTGCAACGAGATGGTGTTCCAAGCCATAGATCCCAGAAGCCATACAAATATTTGAAGGAGAATGTTCCTCGATTCATCCGCCTAATCACTGCTTCCCAGAATTAATTGTCTCAACAGCGTCTTAATGATGCTAGTGATCATTTAATTTGATTTTGCAAGGTTTTTAAAACCATATTTGAAATGGTATGATTTACCAAATTAAGTATAGTGAGATTCTCCTATCAACTGGAATATAATCTGACATGTTTTAATTAAAAATAAATGTTTATTTTTGAAATATCAGTGTCCAATGGTTTTGAACCACCCTGTGTATGCGTTGCGTCAAATTGTAATTATCAGTAAGTAAAATCATATGAAAGGAACAATGAACTAGTACTAGAGAATATAATTTCCTTTTTTAATTTCCGATCTTTACATTTCAGTCTTGTTTGGCATTTTTTGTCTTCAACTGCACGTTTCTTACTTAACATATGCCATTATTGTACGTTTGGGATTAGTTTGTAAACGGTTTAGATAATGATATGACATCCTCACCTCCGTACAATTGGGGCAGAGAGTATCTTCGTTAGTCCACGTTATAACAATAAGTTGTTCTGCCTTAAACTCCTCATTTGCAGATTGGGCGACGACCTTTGCATTAGCACATTCAAGGATGTCTGCTTGTGTTACGTATATTTGATGATACACGTGGAACCTCTCTGGTTCACTTTGGATAAACCCAGCTATCATTGAATAGTTTGCCATATTGTCCGGAGCTACCTTTCTAGCTGATCTATCGAATGCCACATGCCCCAACTGACTGATCTAGATACAATTATAAATATATATATACAGGGTGATCATTACGTTCTGGGAATTGGTCTGCCATTGCAAGATTTCTCAACCATTCGAGTTGAAAGCAGATATACATTGTACAATTCTGAATTGACAGGCCCGCGGGTCAGCAACTTGTGACTGATGTTAATCTTAACGTTTCCTGCAAAACATATTCATCTTGCCTGGATGGTTCAAACTACTTGTACTAAAGGCAGAATAGTACTGTTGAAGTCATTTATTCAGAAGTATTCTTCATTGCTGAGATGATCATTTCATTTATAACTGTTTCCACTAGCCTGGACGCACATGCACTGTTGACAAACCTAGTACATAAAAACGCTTTCTAGTCTTCCATTTGGTATCCCTTGACGATTTGCTCAAGCTGTTGGAATCAGTCCCTTATCGGAATCAAACTTATGACTTCTCATATGATGCTTCAAGTACCTTCAACACCCAAATGTTGTGAAGCCTAATGATGCTTCATGTGGTGAATATTATATGGTTTATATGGGGCATAACCAACTTGTTTGAACCCCAATTCTTTTAAAGTAGTATGGGCAGTTTGAGGAGTGAGAGGGGTCATATTCATAATGGAAGATAACTCCGGCTATTTTGAGTTGTGATTTTGACTTTGAGAGTCTGACGAATGATAATAAAATAGAGCAAAGTACGCTCCTATATCACAATACAGGTGTTAGTTTAGAAAACAAAGTTAGAAATATTTGAAAACATAAAAAGTCACAGAAATATGTCAAGCAAATAGGTATTAATTAACCATACTTTTGGATCGGGTAAAATAAAAATGAATTCAAATTTTGCTTGACCCGCTATGCCATTTGTCATGTTGCTATAGTAACAATAATTATCCATTGTGATATCATATGACAATAAGATTGTTTCATCCAGCCTAAAATTACATTCCTCATTTACCTTGAAAATTTCAAGGAAATTCGTTGAAAAATAATTAAATTACAGATAAATTCCCAGAACTTAGTGATCATCCTGTACAGTATTCTATGTCTCTTTAAATAAATAGTGAATGTATATGTTAGAAGCTAAACAAGATACCTCTAGCAACACACACATCACAGTAAATACTATAATATGATTTTTTACTTTATAACAGACATATTGCTATTTTGAGATCCCTATCAATTTTATTATTTGAAAATTAGATTTTGAGGGAGAAAGTACACTTTCAGAATAGTTAAACAGAAATCAAAATTATGTATTATGGATTTTCATTTTAAACGATTTTGCCATGCGTTAAGGTACATTCATCTCCTAAATAAAATAAATATATATGTCATTCGTTTTAATCCTTAAATGATAACTGTGCTAACGTATTTATCCAATGTATAAATAGAGGATATCCTATGATTTATGAGTGATATGATTTTTATCCACGAATGGATATGATATCTGCACGAGCGAGCGTAGCGAGAGAGTGCAGATATCAATAACCATGAGTGGATTAAAATCATATCACGAGTAAATCATAGGATGTTCTTTTTATTCCATAGTTAAAGTCGTCATCAGAATCGTCGGAAATTAAGTCATTTAATTCGAATTTTCCAAACGATCCGGCGATGTTGACACTTAGCCTCGTTTTGAGTCTGAAGTAGCAAAAATCCATAAACCATCGCATACGACGCTGTATGTCATGGCTAAAAAACCGTATGCTATGGTTAAGTGAAAATTTGTCAAAAATATCATATTTTACCACTGATTACAAAAATACAGTTTTTATTTTCACATGTTATCCTATGAATATCATGCTAACTATGGAATAAAACAACTTACGGTTTTGACTGGCGAATTATTATCAGATAAACTAACATATATCTCACGGTGGACAACTCCAAAATGCGTGTTTTCGGGTGAATTAAATTATTCTCAGATAAACGTGCGTATATTTTACGTTGTTAACCTCTAAAATACTTGATGGGGAATATTAAATTCTTATCAGATAAACTCACGTATATCTCATGGTGGGTAACTCCAAAATATTTGATGGGTCGAATTGTTTTGACTGGAGTGAATTTCTTAGTTTTTTTGTCTCCTTCCGCTCGTCCATACTTGAAATGACTACAGTGCGTGTCTGGACTAGGGTCATTGTTCCGAATCTCAAGAATACCTAAAAGAGTACGGATAAGATATACACGTATGAGATAAAACAGTAAATAAGATATTTCAAAATCTAGTTGTAGTTCTTTATGTTTTTTTTTATTTTATATGTGCATTTAGACACCAATTTAATTTGGTAAAAATCCTTGAAATTATTTTTTTGAACTTCATTGTATGCATATCTAATTCAGACGCATTTTAAAATCATTTGGTTGAATTCCATTTTATACAATGTAGTATATTTAGGCACAAACTATTCAACAGGTTTGGATTTTAATATGCCGAACTTCACGATGGTTAAATTTAATACTTAGCATATAGTATAGTATGCGCCAAATTGCTTTTTAAGTGGCTTGTGTAGGCTAAACCAATGGCTGGGTCAAGATTATTATGAATGATTTATGGACATTATAGATTGATTCATTGCCAGTTCATTTTACTCGTCTGGAGTCAAAATAGTGGCATAAAAGGACTCTACGGCTTGCCCCAAGGTGCTACTGTCAAAAATATGCGTTTGAAAAAAAAACAATCAAATAATAGCAGTAAGTATAAAAAATAAGAGGTAACTTTGATCCTGATATGTAATGATATTTCATTTGGGTGTGGTAATTTTATTAAAAACAAAATGGTAATGGTAAAATGGTAAAAATTGGATATTTCTGACCTTAAAATGTCAATGATATTATGAATCCTACTTTACATATTCAATTTTTTTTAAATATTCCATTGAATAAGATTTTGGCAAAGAGAATAATTAAAGGGGTTATACAAGGATCAGCTTTATTTACTAATTTTTCACTTTAAGTGATGTTTTGAAAAAAATACTGAGTTAAACTCAATTGTATTTGTTTTATTCACCTTTATAACGCTGCCATACCTCAAAGGGTGCAATGCAAATATAAAACAAATTAAAATCAATCTTTCAATGTAATATATACTTTCTTAAAAAATCTCCTGGAAAGAGAATCAAGTTTAGAACCAATGTCATCCCAATAATTCAAAAACACATATTATTACCTAGTAGCCAATGTAGTTGTATGTCTTCTGGTAAGATTAAAAATTCATTCAATACAGAGATGGAAGGGTTGAATCGAAACTATTAAATAGGGCATGGCGTTCAATTCACCCCTAAAGAAATGACATCTGAGCAATCTATGACATAGGTCATCCCTACATTCATCATTACATAATGAACACATTCAGTCTGTAACATAAAACAGCCCGCCTTAGTTCTAAATTTAATATAGGTAAGGTAAAAATCATTTTCACTGTTCATCTATAGTTCAATACCAGGTTGATTTTTGACATCTGATGATTCTTGATAGATCCTTTTACCAATACTTTAAGTGTAAGAAATATAAGAAAAAAATCAGAATTGGATTTATTCAATTATTTTGGGAGGGAGACTATTTTATGATTTTTTCGAATTGTTTTGTATTTGATACAAAAAAATCAAAATCTAATTAATTTCACTGTTTTCTGGTAGGTGTATGCACGCGTTACAATGCTATTCAGTGATTTCTATGCACGTCTAAAGTGTTAGAGTCAATTAGAAAAAAATAATAAAAAGTTCCCTTTTCAGTTTAAGTGAGGGGTGTCATAGGGAGTGCAGTCGCAACCAACACACCCCAATTCTCCATTTCAACGGGTCTGTACATTAATGCACGCTCATACATTCATATTGTATTGCCGATACGATCATGAATCACAATATAACACGATCATGTATCAAAAATGGCGTGACAATAAGTGCAACCCTGAAGAACATCAGTGATAAAGGTGATCAAAAACATATATTACACATCAAATAAATAATAATAAATTATATGTGTGACAATAATTCACAAAGATATATATACAGGATTTATAAAATGGCTGGTTCCACCTTTATCACTAGAGATGGGTAACCAACAAAGTGAACTGGCTGCAAAAATGATTGTACCCGCATATTTTGATATGTTGTATCTTTTTCTGGAAAGCCCCTTGATTTTGAATGTTTGTAATATATTTAACTTTTCATAAGGAACAAGATGGCATAAAACATAATAGGATTGAAATGCTACATGTAATAGTTTAGAGGGGTGCGTCCAAACATATGAAACACCCTGTACTATTCTTAGAGATAATGAATTGGTCTAAAAGATATAGCCATGTTCATGATCAACTCAATATTCATAATTCAAGTTAGAATCATCTAAAATTGTTTGAGATAACCACCCGCTCTTTTACTACATTACGTTAAAGAACATTAAACTACCTTAACCTCTGTCAAAAAGATTGTTCAACATTTATCGGTCAAAAAGATATGCATTGTTAATTATGTGAGTTGCATTTTTTGAAACACCCTGCAATGAGGTACTGTTAGCAAAATACGACGATACAATAATACAATCAACACAACGTTAGGCAACAACATGTGTTCAAATTGTTCAGTACGCGTATACTCAATCACAAGTCAAATTATATAAAGCAATATTATATAATCCAGTACAATTTAGGTTCCATGTACAACATACATGCGTTCAACAGACAACAATAATGTGTAACATTCCGAAAAGAATAAAATCAAAAATATAAATGAGATAAACATTTAATTTTTATAAGTAAATATATAGATCTCGCTAGATACTTGTCAATATAATAAAGTATGTCTTGCTCTTTGATTCAAACTATTATTATCTATAAGAAAAATATTCTAAGGAAAATAGAACTTGATCATACTTTCACAGATTGGTTTTTCTTTGTGCCATTTTCCATCTTTCTTGCAAACAAGTCTGTTCTCCCCAGATAAAATGTAATCCTTCTTGCAGCTTATCCTAGCTACGGATCGGTTTTCACGTTCAAGAAATTTCACTTTGCCATTCAAAATACTGAATGTCGGGCAAGCGAAAGTGAAAGATGTTTCATCTGAAATTTTCTCTAGAATTAATTGTTGTTATACTAATAAAGAATTTGAACAAAAACATTGTTAGATAAAGAAAGTTAATATTTCATGTTATTTAACAACACTGCTGAACAGAAGCCATATAAAATTACTAAAAAATCCTCATACATATTTGAGTCAGAGAAATGTAATACAATACAGACACAATACAAGCCAACGATGCATTGAATACTTGAATATGTTACGGGATGTACAAAAGCAACTGACACTGACACACGGAGTAAAACAGATTACTACAATATTAAACATATTGTTTGCATGCTTCGTGGGCTACGGTGTAATACCATCATGTAGAGATTCCCCTTCAATCTAACAATACTATTTTACTGAACAGTTCTCTAAATCCCGAGTTTTTCTTTTCCAGCATGCAATTTCAACCATTGGCTTTCATTATTGTGGGAGTTATGGTAGTATTACTTAGTGATGATTTCCATGTGCATTTTTAGATTTTTTTATTGTTTTACCTCTAGTGCATTCTCTGCCATCTCCTTTATATCCTGGTTTACATGTACACGTATAGGAGCCTACTGTATTCTCGCATAATGCGTTTTTATGACAGCTATGTCTTAAATTCACATCAGAATTTGAACATTCATTAACATCTGAAAAAGGCAATCTTACAAAATCATATTATGTATTGTTATTTATGAAGCTGTAGTGTTCTGGCTATTTGCGCTCTTGAATAAGAGTAACACAACTAAGTAGGTTTGTTGTTGGCTATATAATATGATGACGTAGTTTTTTATAAATTGCATTACGTATTACCGACTTGGCTTTGTTGTTCAAATCGCCGTTAGAGTTAGATTCTCGTGTATGACTTGTTGCTTATTCTACTCAGGTCAGAGAAGTCATTTTAATGCATAAAAATTAGGAATATATTATAAGTACAGTAGGAAGGAAGGATTCCCATGCACCCAAGCTAAACACCTTTTTAATTACAGATTTGTTATACAAATATAAAAAGATTTGTAGCTAATATTGTCATCTCATGTACCTGAAATTACGTGATTATACCCCCCCCCCGAACGCACCCCTATTGTGGGCAATTTGTTTTATTTCTTCAATGTCAATAACATTGTAATTTGTATATGCCAAATATAAAATAAACATTCATAAATAAATTAATCTTAAAAAGAGATTCCCACAATGGGTACGCCAGGGGGTAAAATTGTAAACCTTTTTAATACAAGACTGAGAAAGGATATCTTTCATGTTACCATTACGTTCTGAATCCTTGTCTTGGGTTATTATGTCCATCACTTCAAAATGGTTCGCATCCTCTATTGGTATACCTAAACTTCATCCATTTGAGATATTGCACTTCATATTTTTTCGATTTTTCGATTTTTCAACGTCTCTTTGAAATATCAATTTTTTCTCAGACATTAGTAAAGCAAAGACTCAAATTCTTCTAAGATTACTAGGTCTTAAGCTATTTTTATGAATATTATAACTGTTGTTTTCAATTAAAAATAAAATCCAAACTTATGTTAAAATGGCTCACGGTTTTGCCCGTCCCCTCCGCCTCAAAAAATTAAGTTATTTGTATAAACTTTTCTCAAATTGGTATATTTATGTTATTTCTTTCTTTGTCGTGTATACAAAAATGATTGACCAATTAACATCTAAGGGTGTGGAAGTATAACCCTACATAAGGGACACTGTGGGATATGAGATAGGAATGTTAACCCCAAAATTCGTAGATATCTTAGCCCATGTACAAAAGCAAAAACTGTAAACAAACCTAGCAAGAAAATCGAATAGTGATTTGGATATACGTACTCATTAAGATCATTATAGGAGCATCAACACTGCATAAAATAACGAATATTGCTTGCAAATAACGAGCAATTCTAGTGGTTATTTGCTTCAAATTGCATGTTATAACCAGTAATCATCACTGACAGAACGCAGACAATAACTGCATATATGGAACACACATATATGCAGCTGCATATAACAAACATCCACGGAGAATACTGACTGCATATACGGGTACTGTCACTGAGTATATTTGCTTATATTCAGACATACTTTGCATATTTGCTGTTTACTTGTGATTATATGCAGCGCTGAAACTGCATATACCTGCTTATTTGGGATAGACAAATATAAGCAGTTGAGTATACTAGATATATATAAAAATTAAAACTGATTATATTTGCATATGATCTGCATATATGCCACTTTTCATGAGTATTTCTGCATATTTTGATATAAGTAATATGCAGCATGTGAGTATATTGAGACATGCACAAGAATATAAACTAACTACATTAGCATATATAGAGTCAAGATCGGTATATTTGACATATTCTTGCTTATTTAGGAGGACTGGTAGACGCTGTTTTGTGAATTGGGCATAAACATCTGTTAATGTAAATTCCTATTTATGAGCATTTGAGTGTTGTAGCTATAGGTTTGGTTTACTGTACTTGTTTTTTGGGGTAAGAGATTTGAAAAAATTGCACATAAACAGCTTTTACGTTTTTATAATTTATTTTAAATTTCTTTAGATTTCTATTTACAGAGTAGGCCAATGAGACGACCTCTATAAGTAATAACTTCAAATAGTATACATGTCATGATATAGGGAGAAAATCATTGTTACAACTTATTAGCCCCGTGAAATAATATCGCTTGATGATGGGAATGTTTTGATCCACCTTTCATATCGCTTGATACATATATAGACATATTTACAATGCATTGTAATTATATTTCTTCCTTTAAATGATACATAATTATTGTAGGCAAAAATATGAATGCCTATTTCAAATCATTGAAAATTATATTCTCTCTCGAATGATAAGCCTAATAATGATTTTACTTTTAAATGGATTATTTACTCATTATGTTTTGGCCAAACCTGTATATTGCTAAACGAATATATTTACATTGCATTGCACATGATGTAACATTATATTTCTATCTTTAAAATGGTGCGAACTAATGCTCCAAATCAATGTACGCATATTGCTCAATCTTGGAATTCTGCTTTCTCCATTCAAACTCCTTTCTTCTTCATCCTAGTGTCTTCTACACGTTTCTCAATATCTATGTAAATTCAGCTATCACATGAATTCTATTTTGCGGGAAATTTGACACTGCACACAAAGACACTGCTCTGAAGACACTCCTCTGAAGATACAAAGACACTGCTGTGTATTTTATTCAATGATACAAAGACATTAGTTTATAGCATACTGTTCAGCCATACAGTATCATGGACCTTCCAAGACAATCAATTTATATATTAAATTATCAAGATCAATGCCAAATCTTATGTTTACAACAATTTGCCAGGTGTCTTTATTGTGTTTTTTTTCATTATCAAACTCAATCATCTATCCATTAAGGGAAATAAAAAGCAAGCTAAAGTTTCACTTACGAGAGGCTTCATCGTGTTCCTGGGTCTGGCGTGGAGCAAATGGCTGACTGGCTAAATTGCGACATGGGCTTCTAATCAAAAGCCCATGATTGCGCCAATGTGTAGACATTCTCACAGTATGGCTTTATGATTATATACTACTCAACAGACATTGGTCATTTGGCAAGCTTAATGTTTCCCTGTCAACCACCTGTGTGCGTGTCACGTACGATTATTACTTGCGCATCATAGCTCGGAGACATGCAGTTTGCTCAATATCCATCCCCTCATTTTTAAATATTCAATAACAAAATATATTGTTAAAACATAAAATACTAAATTTTGCGACATTTTGCTGCTATTGAACAGTCATAATGCTGTTTTGATTAACCCATGATTTGACATCTCTAATAAGTAATCTAAACATAAACAATTACTAATTACCTGACACAATTGCACATAGGGGCCGGATGTTTGGAGAAGCACCTTGATAGTTGAAACCAGGAATTGTTTTGAATAGTATTTGTGATTTGTATAGAATTACCTTTTCATTCTTAGCATTCAAAATACAAACTAATAATTCACTTTTTGATGTATTCAGTTTTAATTCAAATAACAAGCTTATTCATAGTAAATCTGAATGACATTCTGATGATTTAAGAATTGTATTATCTTGCGTCAAGATCCTTGACCCCCTCCCGACTTAATACATGTATCTCTTTAATAATCTGCAATCAAGAGATTGATAGACATAATTTAATCAGATAAATGGCTTATCTAGTTGTAAAATATTTGTTCGGACCCTTATTTTATATTTGTGTAGGCCTTGGTGTATATTATCTATATGGGGATTCAGCAGGGGATTATTGGGTCAAATGTATTTTCCTCCCTTATGTCTGGGTCACATTTGCCGCGATTCATCGGCCGCTGATTGAGTATTTTGTTCCAAACTGAAATATGGGTTGCAATCAAATGTTTCGAAAGCCATTCACCATGATTTAAGTAAAACATATTATTAAAGCTATTTTTTAGACATTCAATCAATTTAAATCAATCAAGTTTGAATGCGATTGCATACATGTATTTGCAGATGTAGTGTATTTTACTCACATTTTCACATAATAAGAGCTGTCATTTGACATGTAATACTGAGTTTTCAATATTTTGATACAATTGTTTATTATTTTGCGATACAAATGCCTTGATCTCAGATATTACTTTCCCATGGATTTAAAAATCATCCCAGAACTAATTATAGGTAACACCATTGTGCACAAGCCGTCTGATTGCATTACTCGCTAAAATAACATCCTTAGAAGTGAACAATCCAAACATCTGATAATAATATAGCTAAAGTCCCCCCTCCCGGTATCCATGCCCACCTTGTTCAGTTGTATCCTTAAAATGTTGAACTACCTTTTGCATTCCTTCAGAGATAATCGGTTAATTTCTGAATTTAAAAGAGATTTAATTATACAATGTAGCACGGGGATTTAGAAAAACTGGCTATAGAAATTAATCCATTTAACTATATCAAACGGATTAATATCAGTGAGAACTTAACTCATTTGCAAGAATTGAATAATTAGGGATTAAAGTTTTGTGAATGTATTTGGGAATGGAAAACAAAGCAAGGTCCCATTCAAAATAGAAACAAGGTATCTCTGATCAGGTTTTGTCTCTTCATTCTCATATAATCAAGTTATCAAAAAATGATATTTTGATTCACAAAACTGCACCGAAACATTGAAAAGTACACGAAGGCAACCGCATTTGCAATCTATAGTTCTCAAAAAGCAGGGTTATTAAAAGCCAGTTTCAAACTGATAGAAGTTAAAAAGCCTGTTTTTGAAACCCAGTTCCTAAAATTCAAATTAGAATACTCTCTTTCTTTTCTATTTAAACTTAAATCAATTTATTATAAACAAACTATTCCGGGCAAACTATGACCAAGTGCATCGGTAATACAAAACTCCTGTAAATGAGTTATATAAGACAATGAAATCAACGCTGATTGAAACTTAAACACTATAAAATGATTTAATCTTCTTTCGATTCCATTACCTGTCATATTTTTTTCTAAATACCGACTTTACCGGGAGGAATTTAACATGGGCTTTAATTCAAAGGCAAGAATCACTTATTAAGCGGATTAAAAGATGTTGGACGTCGCTCCAGTGATTTATATTTTATGGTTCTGAATTGATCTGCAGATTTTAAATGCAATCGAAAACATGACCAAAAGAGTCTAGACTACCATTTGCTTTGATAATGGGGAATGGAAAACAAAGCAGCGATTTGAAAAAGTAAACAATTGAATTCCTATGCATAATCCATGATTTAATACGAACGGTGGTAACAGGTTGTTAAATTATAATACCTTCTCAGGAAGAATTAGGTTGCATTGACTCTAAAAGTAGAGATAACAAGTTCAGCGGTGTAGCCAGCTTTCCGTCGGGGGGGGGGGCGATCTCCATTAAAAACATGGGTTTGCACAAGTATTCTTTATTAGCAACTTATTGATAACTAGAAGGAAGATCTCTCTTTTCAGGTGTGACTTAAAAGGTGTCGAAAAATCACAATTATAGTAAAAATAGATTATTTCGAAATCCATCCTGTAGTCGCTTATTATACACAGGTAAAGTCATATTCATAAAGAACTACGGTACTTACATTCTTTAGTTGTGTTGTTTTATCATGCTTAATAGAAAAATACGCACAAATAGTCCGTTATTTATTTGTATGCTCAGTTATAAAATGAGCAGAGCAACTTAGAAATAGCTTAATATAGTCAGAAAGAGGCAATTATAACGTGTGACTATATTGCACACTTACAGAGTATTGCGTTTGCATATATTTGAGTATTCTTAACTCCACGTATAATCAGTGCTTATTTGTGCTGTTCTACAAATAAAGAGGAGCAATACTTGAATATACAGAGTGTTCCATATATGCAGCGAGTATTGTCTCTGTACTGTCTCTGTTTATATGTGCTGAGTATTTTTGCTGATTACTGCACATTACAAGAGATTCTTACAAATAGACACTGCTTATAACAAAGCAATATTCTCTATTTCATATAGTGCAAGTTTTAAATAATGTTGGATATACGAAATCAAGTCAATAGACAATTCAAAGGGTCGACATCCAATCGTTAAACCGTCGCATTACATAAAACACAGTAATTGACAATGTTCATCGGGAGAAAACTATGGCTGGTTTCTATCCCTATTTTCTCAACAGTTAATGACATAGCCGGATTCACTTTGAGTTTAATTCCTTAAGTAGACATCATGTTGGTTTGAAAAAATGTGCTTAGAACTAATGTGTTTAGCTAATGTGCATGGGAACCCTACCTTCCTACTAAACTATATAATCTACAAAAACAAATTACCTTTGCATACTTCCCCATCCCCCTGGAAGCCCACTCTGCACTCACACGTGTAGGAACCCCAAGTATTTGAACAGGTTGCTTCGGGAGGACAAGTATGCCTCTCATCACTTACTAATGTAAAACACTCATCGATATCTAAAATACAAAGACATACATGCATGTTGTGAAATGAACGATAAACTGACAGCCACCTTAACATTCATGAAGCTGGTAGAAGGACATTAGACTACATGCTCTATTTCATGATACGAATATGTCGCTCTATGATAAATAATTTTTTTGGTGTATCGTATAACAAATAATCGAATTAAATCATTTTTGTTAAAGGCCCAGAGCCTTGAAAAAACTGGACATATTCTAAATTTAAAAGCTTCTATATCACTTCATTGTTATGTTTCTATCATATAACATGTATGATGCACAATTGTTCTAAAGAATACAGCCTTTCTACTTTCTACATATTCTAGTCAGCCTTATTTCAAATCTTATATATTATGTAGACCCATTTATAACATTTCAATATAGTCACTTGACTCACTCACATCTACATATATTTAGACCCTTTGGGTTGACAACATCTCCATATTTCTGTATAACTCCTTACATAACCTATCACATCACAATAGTCCTTTTAAACTGTCTATAATACAATCACTTGACAACCAACCTATACTGCAATGTACTGGATTTATCTTTGGAGGTTGACCTTAGGTTATGTAAGGTATCTTGGCTTGGGATGAGCATAAACATAAGCCTCAGAGCAAAGGTCAAATTGTGCAAAATTGAATATATATAGGTCATTCAATGACTTTCATACAGAGAGATCGGACTAACTGCGCGTTTATAAAATTACAAAAGTATCGTGTGGCCCTTGCTGTGTGTTGAGGGGCCCATATTGTTGGAACAACTGTGTAAATTTGAACTCCTCAGTCATTTGACGATGGTTGGTTTACTGTGATTTTTCTTCAGTCGCCATCATTGGACTTCTTTCTCAACGGCACTATTTAAAGGAGCACTTTCCATGTTAATCTCAATTGCCGTAAAACAAATAGTGATTTGTTTATCTATGTTGTTGATATACTGTATGTTACATTTTTGAGACATCCTGGTGTAATTCATCCCTTAAAGGGTTCCGATTAGCATCCCGTATAAAAACAATATGGCGGCTCCAGGCGAATCAACTGGATCAGTCCATTTTTAAGAAATAAGGGGAGTTCTGTAAAATCCAGTTTATTGAAATTGTCTTTGAGATAAAGTAATCCGTTTATAATGATTTTGAAAACGTTATCCAAAGAGTGATTGCGTTCAAAGAATACATGTACAACAGCCAATATAAATCCTTGTATTAGAAACCGGTTTGTCTTGCTTTGTTTCATTTGTAGGATATTTCATATGCCAAGCTGTGTGCTATTACGTTATGGGGAAATTTAGATGCCAATTTTTCCTTATTATACACAAATAGAAGATCCTGAAACTTCACCCATAAATGTAGAATTGATTTGTCAAAATAAAAATCACCCTTTTATAAATGTGTGACGATCTATAATATACTTATGCTATATAACAGTTAGAGGTGTTGACACAACGACCTCGAAGCTGTGAACCCTTGAGTATTATTCCGGGATCGGGCCTTTTATACTAAACGGTGAGCAACACCAGAAACGAGCGTTCGATTTGCTAAACGATATGCGTCACCCTTTAAATTGCCAACATCTTCATATCCTTCATAGTCAATCGGATGATGCCCTAGTACATATTTTATTAAGTCCCTGTGATACAAACATAAATACATACATAGATGTTATTTACTGACATCTCTTAAGGGCCAGGGAGAAATATAATATTGTCACGAGGAATAAACCCATATCCATCCCGATCAGTAAATAAGCTTTTTATCCCATGCTATCCATGACTTTTCTCATATTAGATCAGAATGAATATCTTATTTTTTTAAATAAAGGGATCAACATATTAAACTCATTGATCAGACTTCTAAGAACCATGAGTATCTATATCAGAGCATGATGATCAAACAGCAATTCGCCTGTCACTTTATAAAGGCTAACATGACTTCACACTACTTACTCTTTTTCCACCTTCGTTGGGACAATCTTTTCCACAAATTAACACATCAATTAGAAAAACATTATACCGACCCACCTGAACGAAATAGAATCTGTTGCTTGGTAAACATTTCCTGGAGGTGAACACAATTTTCGCAAAATATATTTTGAGGTGATTATGATTTTCTTGGAAGGGGATGGAATGAACAATACGATTTTTCATTGTCAAAAAGACTCCCCAGTGTTATTCACCGGGAAGTAAGAGCAACATGGAATAAATTCTGTGTAGCCTTATTTGGATTACATACCTCTGCACAATTTTCCATCTCCTTTTAATCCCGGTCTACATTTACATTTGTATGAGCCAATGGTATTAATACAAGTGGCATCAGACGAGCAATCGTGCCTATTGTTAATATTTGAATTTGAACATTCATTTATATCTAAAATAAGAAATAAGATTCGTTGATTAAACCAGAGGGAGGTTACCCATAAAATGTAAATAGCCCAAATGCCTAATTTCATAAATAACAACATAGTGCACTTTCGTAAACGAGTTTGTTGTGGATGTTTACCCGTCGAAGTCAACAAATCAAACCCGCTCATTCCATAAAGAAAGATCGTATACTCAACCATACTCTCCGATTTTGATTAACAGATACAAACCAACAGTAAAACCACTCCCCTTCCCGGCTCATCTTCGCCATAAATATTAGGCGATTTGAACTGATATTCTACCAGAAGAGGATTATACATACAAATTATGATAAGTCGATAAACGTGCATAGTTACCAGTGCATGTTCTACCATCTCCCCAATAACCAGTTAAACACGCACATGTATATGACCCCTGTGTGTTTATACATCGTGCCTTCGGACTACAGTCATACTTGTCCATTATACATTCGTCGTCATCTGTTATAGAATAGTACCAATTCAATATGGAATAAAGAAACAAAGAAACAATGTCCAGGTAAGATATCCTGTCCCTTTACGATATATCTAAATTTGAGATAATGAGAATTATTTTCTTATGACTGGTTGAGTTCTTAGATCTATATTATATTTTGTAATGATGCCTGGTCAAAGGTACTGTATATATCACTTTTCGGTACGATTCGTCTAATATTTCCTTTGTTTAATTTCTCTTAGATGTACCTAGACAAGTGAGTCCATCCCCGCTGTAGCCGTTTTTGCACGAGCAATAGTATGAACCATAATTGTTATAACATAAAGCGTCACTGTGACATCTATGTGTATTAGTGTCACACTCATTTATATCTACAAAAATATATGTGCTCAGCATTTAAACAGCAAATAGCATCCATGTTGATGTTGGAGCAAAATAATAAATCGATAAGTTGTGTGACTTTGGTTGGTATGGCTACAGTGGCGGATCCAGGAACCAACAGGGGGGGCCCAAATTTGAGGTCAGAGAAAAAAATTGTGAAAATTTGAGGCCCATTTTCTTCAAAATTTGGCCTAAAATTAAAAAATAAGGCCTTAGAAGGCCCAATAATGACCAAAAGGCCCACTTTTTGGGGCCTTAAGGCCTTAAATTTTTTTGGACCCAACTTTTTTTTCTGGGCCAACCTTACGGGGGGGGCTTCATGCCCCCCCCCCTGATTCGCCACTGGGCTACCCAGACAGGCCAGGAACGCGTTTCCCACGATTTGTTAGCTATTATATCTACGACCGTATATGTTAAGAAAAATAAATATCCAAATAAGAACAAGGAACATCGAAGAACAGCATACAACGGTATGATTTATATGACAAAGGTAAATGAATGAATAATAATACTACCTAAACATCTCATTCCATTATCATTTTTAAAGCCCGGTTTACACATACAATCAAAAGAGCCCGGGGTGTTCCTACAAATCTGTTCTCTGTCACAATTGTCTTTGCCAGCTGAACATTCATCCAAATCTGCACGATACATCGAACATATGGATACAAAATGTGGTTTTGGATCGTGGTAATGAATCCTGGATGGTAATATATAGGAAGGGTGTTTTGTGCTAGATCTTGACTTTGTCGATCACAGTATTATATTGCTTTTATTCCAATAAAAATGTATTGAATAATTTAACACAAATAAATCAATAATACAATAACATGTGTACATGTTTTTCATATGTTTTGGTGGTTTTGATTTTTATATCACCGTTGTGTATCCAAATTAAAATATGTCCACTAAAAATAAATGTTACCTATCCAATATGACATTACTTTGACTGCACTTTGGATGTTAATGATGTAAATTAAGATTTTTCTACTCGTTTCTAGTCTACTGTTGCAGTTTGTGTTGTCCGATTATGAATGATAGAGCATAAATGTGGAAACGTATAAATAAAATGAATGAAACATTTATACAAAGTATAGCATTCTGTTAACTGCATTAAACACATTGGAGCTTCAGTCGGGATGTGCATGCATGTACCTCAGTCCATGTGTGTTTAATTGCGTGTTTTTGTACGTGTGTGTATTTTAAGCATGAATTGAGTAAAGTACAAACCTGAACATGTTATCCCATTTCCAAAATAACCTGGCTTGCATTGACATATATAAGAACTTTTAGTATCTATGCAGTCAGCATTAAAGCCACAGTCATCCACACCCAATTCACATTCGTTAACCGCGATCTCTGGAATTATGAAATACACTTAACACAATCGTGACTTCAAAACATACAAGGAAGGTCAAAAGAGGAGACCTGGTGCGTCATCCTTAAGATAATTATGAAGATAAATTGGTAACATATACCAATCAATGTAATTTTAATATAATTATATTATATTTATATCATATTTTTATTATAAACTAGTCTCATTTTAGCACTAGATTTCTGATTTGAGGCGTTTTATTCAGAATACGTAAAGGTAGTTTTGTAAAATGTGAGTAAAATTATGACAATTGGTGAGCATAAAACGTGTAGCTTATGTTGTAAAAAAAATATAGATAAAAAATGCCTTGTCGTTTTTAACAGAACATGATAGAACTAATCAGGACATATACAAATACTAGTGCATTACATATTTAAGCAAAAGTGGCAGAGGGAAAGGACCGAAAACTGTAAAGTTGCCTAGCAAGAAACTAAGTGAGAAAACAAGACCAATCCTTAGGTGTGAAATGTCTTAAGAAACTTAGACCCAATATATCACAAAATCATGATCTAAAATGAAAGGATACCATTTCTAACACTCCCCCCTCCTTAAGTGAAGTCAAGAACCAGAACACTTAAAATAAAACCTCGAATGGTGTTGGATAGACAAAATCGAGTTTCCAAGTTCATAGGCAATTCAAAATGTCAACATCCATTCACAACGCCATCGCAATATGACTGGTTTCGATTCCGATTTCTCACACATAAATGCCATAGCCGGGGGACAGTCGAGTAGTATTGTCTGCTTTTGGCAAAATCGATACCCATGTTAATCACCAGTGTGTACACTTTGAACCATATATGTACACTATCATATATGACGTTTTACAATAAATGGCAGCAACTTTTAAATATTTCGATTTGAGTAGGCATCAGCATCAAAATTTAACCAAATCAGTCAACTGGTATTTGAGTTATCAAATCACTACACTTCATGTTTTACTAAAAGAGACAGTCGAGTAGTAGTGTAAACTTTGAACCAAATCTGTTCCATTTATCATATATGACGTTTTACAATATACAATTATTGACCTCTCCAGAGGTTTACTGTCAAAATTATATCCCGAGACTGTAAACCGAGACCGTAGGCCGAGGTTTACAGTCGAGGGATATAATTTTGACAGTAAACCGAATGGAGAGGTCTATAATTGTTTTGTTAGTCCGAAGAATATCTTAGATTTTTCTGACCCTTGAAGTTGACTTGAAGTTGGATCCAGACCCTCGAGACGTTCATGTTGTATTTCAGTATATCGGCAGTAAGTTCACTCAATGGAGTCAAATTACTCTCCTGGGCGAAGTCCACTAAAAGCTTTGTACAAAGTTTTAGATTTTTCTTCGTATTTTGACTGTCTTTACTCTCTAAGAGACTAATAATATCATCATCTTCAACATTTTTGAAACGGCTAGTGCTAGCGGCGGCCATTTTATCGTCTGATAATGACGTCATTTTAGTGGAATGCTGGGAATATTATTCACCGGCAATGCATTGCGCGGTGTACAGTTAAAATTATTCACCGCTCGTTGACCAATCAAAATCGAGTATTTCTACTGAGGTACTAACAATAAAAGTTACTTTTAAATATTTCGACATGAGTAGACAAGGCATCAGCATAAAAGTTTAACCAAATCATCAGTCAACAGGTATTCGAGTCATCAAAACTCTACACTTCATTTTTTACTAAAAGGCGCCCGTTCTAAATTGAATGACTAGCACTTGTCCCACCTGATTATAAATACGTTACGTCTTTATAACAAAATGTATATGTATGAACTTCCGTTGGAGGAAATATTCTATGTTCATCAGTTTCACCAAGAAGGATGTCGATTTGTATCCAAATATTTTACCCGTTTGTTTATGGAAACATCCGGTTACTACAATTCAGGGAGTCACAACCAAATTTATCCAGCAGCTCATTGACATTATCATGCAAAATCTGAGCCAAATCAGTCATTGGGTCAACTGACACAAGTGCATAATATTTGAACCAAATCAGTCATCTGGTCAACTGACACAAGTGCATACTATTTGAACCAAATAAGTCATTGGGTCAACTGACACAAGTGCATACTATTTGAAACCAAATCAGTCATCTGGTCAACTGACACAAGTGCATACTATTTGAACCAAATAAGTCATTGGGTCAACTGACATAAGTGCATACTATTTGAAACCAAATCAGCCATCTGGTCAACTGACACAAGTGCATACTATTTGAACCAAATCAGTCATTGGGTCAACTGACACAAGTGCATACTATTTGAAACATAATCAGTCATCTGGTCAACTGACACAAGTGCATACTATTTGAACCAAATCAGTCATCTGGTCAACTGACACAAGTGCATACTATTTGAACCAAATCAGTCATCTGGTCAACTGACACAAGTGCATACTATTTGAAACCAAATCAGCCATCTGGTCAACTGACACAAGTGCATACTATTTGAACCAAATCACACTTACTGGTAATCAAATTATCAAGTTATCAAATGTTACTTATTTCAAAAATAGCGGCCATTTTAAATTCATTGGCCATATCAAAAATTCATTCAGTAGTCATCCACTCAAAAGGCATAAGCCTATAACATTCAATTTACAGGTATTTGACTCATTGTCTGGACAAACGAACGGACGGGTGGATTGCTTCTCTTTATCCGTAGCAACTTCGTTCGAAGGATAAGTTAGACAAATCTATATCATTTAATTTAGATGGTGCATGTGTACTATTTTAAAACAGTTTGGAGTGTTTGACGACTATGCTGTGATGTTTTCGAAATATAGGGTACTATTATTCAGTACCTACGTGAACATGATTGTCCATCGCCTTGGTATCCACGTTTACATCTACATAAATAGGAACCAACAGTGTTGATACATTCTGCATGTGTGTGGCAGCTATATCTTCCGGTTGTACACTCGTTTATATCTCTGCAGGTTCTCCCCGTTCCTTGGTAGCCATATTTACATTTGCAAATATATGACCCAGGGTTGTTTAAACAGTCAGCATTAGTGTGGCAGTTATCTCTCCGTGTTGAACATTCATTTATGTCTGTACACGTCCACCCTGACCCTTGGTAGCCAGATTTACATTTGCAAATATAGGACCCAGGGTTGTTAATACAGTCAGCATTAGTGTGGCAGTTATCTCTCCGTGTTGAACATTCATTTATGTCTGTACACATTAAGCCTGACCCTTGGTAGCCAGATTTACATTTGCAAATGTATGACCCGGGGTTGTTAATACAGTCAGCATTAGTGTGGCAGTTATCTCTCCGTGTTGAACATTCATTTATGTCTGTACACATTAAGCCTGACCCTTGGTAGCCAGATTTACATTTGCAAATGTATGATCCGGGGTTGTTAATACAGTCAGCATTAGTGTGGCAGTTATCTCTCCGTGTTGAACATTCATTTATGTCTGTACACATTAAGCCTGACCCTTGGTAGCCAGATTTACATTTGCAAATGTATGATCCGGGGTTGTTAATACAGTCAGCATTAGTGTGGCAGTTATCTCTCCGTGTTGAACATTCATTTATGTCTGTACACATCCAGCCTGACCCTTGGTAGCCAGATTTGCATTTGCAGATATGCGATCCTTGTGTGTTTGTACAAAGGGCATTTCTATGGCAGTTATCTTTTCTTGTTGAACACTCGTTAATATCTAAAGTAGAAATTCATTCTGTAGAAAATATTAGAAAACGTTTTATGTTATGAACGTTTTTCCTGAAAGCAGCTTTTAAAACGTTCTATTGCGGGGAAAATCAGAGGCACCCCCGAATTTACAGGATGGGCCAAAAACGTCAACATTTTTTATTTCGATTTAAAGTTTTGAAAATGCATACATTTCAATAAGATTCATACAGATTATGCAAAAATCAGTTTAACAATCGTCCCTGAAGTTGGACATATAAATCTCTATGTGTTCATGAACAAAGGTAACTACAGACACAAGCGATCTATTTGAAAAATAAAAGAATCAATTATATTATTCAGAGTAATAAAGTTTATACTGATATTACCCATGCCTGAAATTAAAGTACAATATTGCCATATTATTCAATCTGCCTTAGAGACACACGGGATAGAGTGTTCAGTATATTCTAAAATAATCTCCAGACAAAAAATGAATTTTAAGATATATAAGTAAAATGAAGAAAAACTTATTCAGCAGCAAGAGAAAACAATGATTTGGGAAATTTTGCCTTAACTGTGAAACTTATCTGGGCAAAAAGATCAGTTTGGTGCTTGATTAAACTCATACGTTTCTCCATTGTCCTTTAAAAATCAGATCAGTACTAAATATAGATTAGAAGCCAATTAGCCTTGCCCAAGTCGGTCTCTTTTACTTATCTTGATTTCTATTATGACCGCCTTGTACCGAAGAGAAAGCCACGTGCTTTTCCGACAGTTTGTTGATGTCGGTAAAATTTAACCAATCAACGACGGCCCTGTAGCGTTAGCTCATTATTATGCAAGGTCAAAAACAAGTACACTTTTCACCGGGACTTTTCACGAACAAATCTTGCACGAATCTGAGCACGAATTCATCATGAAAATACAAATATTTTATCAGATAAATATCAATGAGAGTTTAGTGGATGCCGAGGCATCGATCAGATAACCAAAGGTGAGAAGATTTCAACAATAAACGTTGAAACGATCGCTGAACATGTAGGCTGAGATTCAATCACCGATCGACGACAACATGACCCGCTACATTGGACTAGGTCTTCTTGCATTTTCATCGCGAAATCAGTTTTAAATCAACATTGAATCGCATGACTAAGTTATATTAATGCCTCTTACCTTCCAATGTACATTTAATTACATAATATATTGTAACTCTAAAGAAACATTCGATCAGATCATTGAATTTCAAGTCGTAGATGGGAAGTTTGTTTTGTTTACGCAGCTCAACCCAATAACGTTTTGATTGGTCATTCAGCCTGAAGTCACACGTCGTGTCCACGCGAGTATCTGTCAATCATTAAGGTTTCGCGATACCCCTGATGGCGTAGGTATTATGGAAATCTCGAAACCGTTGAATATTTCAGCATAATAACAGCGGAGATGTATCGGATTGTACAAGGCGGTAATAATTCAAGATCAGATAAGTAAAAAAAATACCGACTTGGGCAAGGCTAGAAGCCAATACGAGAACATCATTTTCATCCAGACTTTCGCCTACCAGTTCCGTTTTAATCGATCTTGAATCAGTACATCGAATAGTCCATATCAGCCTCAATACACTCCAAAGTGATTCAAATCCTATCATAAATATAAATTACACAAGTGTTTACACCATACTTAACATGCTTCAGTGGCTAAATGTATGAAATGTCAATCTTATCTGAAAATGTTATTTGAGGCATGATCATTATAATTGTATAATTGTCACTTTGAATTTTATCCAGAAACCTGTACTTTTTATGCAAATCCCAGTGTCTGTTTACCTTAATTATCTTTAACTTCTGGAGATTAATTAATCCCACTTTGGGAACATTTGTAAAATTGACTTCCTGCAGAATTGAAGTTTATGCATTTTCAAAAACAGTTATATTGAAATAAAAATGTGAACGTTTTTTTGGGCCATCCTGTGCTGTGAGTTGAAAAGGAATAGTAAAAGTCATCAATATACGCCTATTTTCTAAAAAGACGCGCATACAAAACAAGCGCTAATTCGTCAACTTCAGATAACCGATCAGCTTCAGTTATGTTTTTAGAACTGGAGACTGAATTTCACGTTGGTGTCAACGGGAATCATTATACTCATATACACTGAATACAATGCTGGCGATTGTGATTTCTGAAATAAATGATGTATATCATACAGGGTGTTCCAAAGGTAACATGACTGGTGCTGACATTTTGTCAATTTTGCAACAAGTGTCTTCAAATTTTCACAAATTGTACTTTAAAGTACTGTAAGTAAAATTGTAAAGTTTCAGAAAAAATGATTAAATGTGAAAAGAGTTATGGTTACTATTATAGTAGCATGACATCACAATACCCGGGGCAACTTTTATGAAAATGTGATATCTAACATTTTTATATCACTGAGGAAAGTAACTAATTCACCTATTGCAATACAACATTTATTGTTTGTTTAATTAGTTGCTTTGTTGTAATGGTGTTGCTATACAACTCAGATTCAAGTATGATTTTATAATTTTCATAATAATATTTTTATTCAATTTCATTGAATATTTCTGTGTATAACAGTCTGCACAATTCACGGTTTAGTTTTTGAAAAGAGCCAATTTGAGGCCAGTCATCCACCTTGATAACGCACCTGCCCGCAAGTCAGCGTTGAAGACTACTGCAGCTTAAAGGAGTTAGGTCTCGAGGTCTTAGACCATGCACCATACTCCTCTGACCATGAAATATCTAATTATACTTGTATGGAGAATGGAATACTAATCAGGGGGTAAGACCCTTAAATATGAGAATGACCTTCTCCAAATTGTCCATCGACCATTCGTGACATGTCCTCAAATAGGTTCACACATGTGTTTGAGTCATGGATACAGAATACTATTCTTGTACGAACCAAAAAGGAGCCTACTTTTTTCAAAGTAGAGGATACATAGGAATATCAAATGATGTAAAGCAAATGTACAGGGCGTTCCAAAAGTAACAGGACTGGTGATTGTCTTCAAACTTTAACATAATGTACTTTCATGTATTGTAATAAAAAAAACTGCAAAGTTTCGATACAAATTATGAAACTCGGATACAGTTATGGTTGCTATGGTAACATGACATCAAAATACCCGGGGCAACATTCCACGCAGAAAGCTACACAGACTTTAAGCATTTTATACGTCCCATACCACAGATGAAATGCAGCAACTGGTGGGAATTACATTTGCTTTATATCATTTGATATTCTTATGTATCATCTACTTTGAAAAACAGGCTCCTCTTTGCAGTACAAGAGTAGCACTCTGTATCTATGACTCAAACACACGAGTGAACCCATTTGAGGATATCACGGGGTCAATTGAACAACTTGGAGAAGGTCATTCTCATCTTTTAAAGGTCTTACCGCGCTGATTAGCATTCCATTCTCCATTTATGTATAAATTAGATATTGCATGTTCAGAAGAGTATGGTTCATGGACTAAGACCTCAAGACCTAGCTCCTTTATAGCTGCAGTGGTCTTTAATGCTGACTTTCGGGCAGGCGCATTATCAAGTCGGATGACTGGCTTTAAATTGGGTCTTTTCAAAAACTCAACCGTGATTTGTGCAGACTATTACACATTGTGACATTCCAGGAAATAGAATAAATATTATCATGATAATGAAATCATCATATATCATGAATCTGAGTTGTATAGCAACACCATTATACATCAAATATTATAACAAACAAGAGATGTTGTATCGTAATAGCTGAATTAGATACTTCCTTCAGTCATACTACAGTCATACTTCAGTATACAAAAATGATACATATCACATTTTCATGAAAAAGTTGTGCAAGTACATTATGTGAAATTTTGAAGACGATTGGTGCATAGTCAAGCACCAGTCCTGCTACCTTTGGAACATACTGTACATGATTTATATACATAATTTAGCTCCAAATATCTTACTAAACGAGCTTGTTTAAAATATGTATCATAGAAAAATACCTATACAACTATCAATGGTGTATTACACGCTGCGGGGTGGTCTATGTAACCCCCCTATCACACCAAACTAGTTCTTACCCGTTCTTGTCAGTCCTACGAAAACGTCGAAAAACGGGCTCAATCTGGCTACAGTCGGGAAATATGTCTAAAATATTGGCGTCTTCGTTCATTAACAGTCTTCAATACGTCCATCTCATTCGCAGTTCGTCCAGGTCGCTCCACGTTGGTGTGCAACGTCGTATAACGCGTCCCTTAGTCTAGAAGGTCATCATGACCTGATTACAGAACGGTATGGTCGCCATCGAATTTTGAATCATTTCAAAATTCTAAAATCACCTTCCCGTCTTAGAAAGTTCATGAAGTTCGTAAATAGACCGTAGAAAGTTGCAGCTACGTTCATTCCGTTCGCACACAGTTTAAAACCAGGTTTGAAGGACGCAGTGGCAACTTGTTTGATGTGATAGCTATATTTTTGCTAACTCGTTCATAAGCAATCTTTGATACGTTCTTTGTCAGTTTAAACCCGTTTGCAATTAGTTCTACCTCGTTCTCAATACGCCCTCAGACAGTTCAACTCGTTGTAAAAACGACCCTAGTAGAAGAGCCCGTTTTCGAGAACGTTGTGAGAACTAGTTTGGTGTGATAGTAGGGTATACGGACTAACGTTAACAATCTAACCGAACGATTATTCAAGTGAGAAAACTACATGAAGTTGTATCGGGGGGGGGGTTCCAAAGAAGTGGGTTCCTTTCATATTGGCACGTTCGTTATAAACAGGCCTCAGTTGCCATTGAACTGAATCTACCAATGTTCGCTGTAGTTTTATGAGTATTCTCCACAAGTTTGGCTCGAGTGACTCAAATAGTATTACCGTAGGTTTAAAATAATGATATTTAACTGATGTTAACGCCACTTCCACGATATGTTCACGTGATCGCATCCTGCGATTTGATTGGAGATGATGCGGGGGATGACGTAATGGGGACTCCCCGAATACGATAGAATATGAAAGAATTATGGGAGCTACTCACTTCTTCTGCAGTTGTATAGGGTGATTTCATACGTACGTGCGTTTCGATTTTGTATGCCAGATTAATATCCCGATAGAATTATTATGTTGTGGTCCATGAATTATATTAAATAGCTAATAGGCTGTATAAATAATCTAGTTAACGTTTGTTTTTAAGTACATAGCTACTGTACCCGAGCAGAATCTCCCTGTTCCTTGGAAGCCTGATTTACAGTCGCACATGTATGAACCAATGGTATTTATACAGTCAGCATTCGTATGACAATTATCTCTTCTTATTGCACACTCATTCACATCTGTAATCAAATGTAGACGTTTCTATCGTTCTTTACCCTTTCCATTCGGAATAAATATAGAACAACTATCGACCTATGCGAGGAAAATGATCCCATTTATAACATATTGGATTCTTAATTCAACATTTTTAAACGTCCACTAAAAAATATGTGCATCACAAATTACACAAGCACAATTATACTGGAAACATTGTTTCACCTATAAATATTTTTCCATGTCCTGTACATCCAGATTTCCATAGACACGTATATGATATGGACGTATCTATGCAAGTGGCATGTGAACTACAGTCATGCAATCTCATTGAGCACTCATTCACACGACTTGTTTAACATAAACAAGGCATTAATATGACAAAAAACACCACCATTTAGAACATTTAATCAATTTGAAGCAAGTTGAAAAATACCCTTTTGACCTTTTAAAAAAAAAATTAAGCCATTTTCAAGCAAGTTGGAAAAATACATTTTGTCATTTTTGACCTCAAGAAGGTCATTGAAGGTCAAATCTTAAATTATAGTCATATTTGAACGTAGGTGGACTTATAGATGATTTTGAAGCAAGATTAAAAATACCTTTTGACCTGTATTAAAGAAAAGACCTTCCTGACCTTTATTAATTTGAGAAAGTTATTGAAGGTCAAATGTCGGATCTAAAGTCAGATTTAATTTCTGAGAAGTTGTAGATGTTTTTTTAAAAAAGGTCAAATTGAAACACGCTGAAACACACCTTTTTGACATTTTTTACCTTGAGAATCTCATATCTATCATATTTATCATATATAATCTAATTTGAAGCAAGTTGAAAAAATACATTTTTGACATTTTTAACTTTTCAGTCAGTGTTAACAGTATTTGTTATGTTATTGGAAGTTGTAAGAATTTGTAACAGACGCCACCCGCCAATGATAACACTTTTTTTACCTTCAAAAGGTCCATGAGGTTCAAATCTTAAATCGATCGTGTTTCGTTGACTATGTTGACTTTGTGGATGGATTTTGACCCTTTCATGCACTGATGGACATAGAAAAAGTGTTTTTGCATTTCCTCTTTTAAACGTTCAATGATTTTTACTTAATTTTGTGATACCTTGATATACCTTGACATTGAAGACGATTAAATATTCTTTTTTCCCTTGTATTTCTATATTCAATATTCAGGAATAATTTAAACCCATGATTATGTCAAGTTATAATTCATACATTTTATCACCTGTACATGTTTTTCCATTTCCTGTATATCCAGGTTTACATCGACACATATATGATATGGAGGTATCTATACACGTGGCGTGCTGATCACAGTTATGTGTCCTCATTAGGCACTCGTTCACACGATTTACTAAACAGAAAAATACACACTCGTTCACATTTCAAAAACACTGTCTATTTAAAATGACTTTCTTTGTCAATAAAAAATATCAAGATTTTGAGTTCTCATTTGACAAATACTTTTACAAACCTAAAACTTGCTGGTAATAAAACATCTATAACCATTTTTATGTTTCTGTAGTAGCAGAGTAACAATACAGTAAATGAAATGGAATTTATTTACAGGATGGTCAAACGTCAAGTCTTATTTTCTTCATATCTTTGTCATATTTTTTACATGTTAAGATCATTTAATTTCCTGCCAGCCTATCATATTTTAGACAGGCTTGATTTTTTGAAAGTATGGTTACACTGTTACATTACAATTATATTCACAAAGGAACATTATTCAGCATAAATCCAACCATATATAGGGTGTCTCAAAAAAATGTACCCAAAAGTATATCAACACCATAGACAAACCAATCAATATTTTCAGACATTTTTTGCATGGTCTTGTAGATAAAAGATGAAAGTTTTTCCCCTATACACAGTTTTTAATTCAGTTTTGCCTTTTTGATACTTTAACCCTTTACCTTTTACACCACATATTCAATGTAACGTCATATTTCGATGACAGTCTGCATCCTTACTACTACAGTGTTCATCACATTTGATATTTCTGGTGGAATGTTTTGATTTCTGTTCGGATGCTGGTCCTAAGTTGTTCTAGGTCTCTTAGCTTGGGTTTAGCATAAAAATGGTCCTTCAAATAGCCTCAGAGAAAAAAGTATGGGCCGTCAAATATGGTGAATAGGGAGGCCCTCACAATGTCTAATAGCCCCCTTATACAGAGAGGTCAGAGGTTCAAGAAACTGCATTGGTTGGGATTCTAGTGTAGCTTTTGTTGTGTGTATCAATTTGAGAGCACTGTGTTTTCATTTGGATATCATTTGGTATCCAGGCTAGCCTGCCTAACTCTGGAAGGTAACTCCTGAATCATTTGCCGATAATTGACCTGATTATCTGTGTTTGTTCTGCCATCGTCATCCTCAAACATCTTTTTCTGTGGCTATTTGAAGGAGTGTTTTAATGCTCATTCCAAGAAAAAACACCTAGAACAACTAAAGGACAACATCCAAAGAGAAATCAAAAACATTTCACCAGAATTATTATCAAAATGTGATGAACAATGTAGCAGTAAGGATACAGGCTGTCATTGAAATATGAGGTTACATCGATTTTGTGGTGTAAAAGGTAAATGGTTCAAGCATCAAAAAGACAAGACTGAAATAAAAATGGTGTATTGGGGAGAAAATTTTCATGTTTTGGCTACATGACCATGCAAAAAATGTCTGAAAATATTGATTGGTTTATCTGTGCTCTTGATATACTTTTGGGTACATTTTTTTGAGACACCCTGTATATGGCCATTATACTTCGATGTTCAGGCGATGTTGACCTTAATCCAGGCACTCCCCCTAAGACCCGAGGAACAAGTCAGTCAGATTCACGTAAAAACGATGACCTTTGGACAAAAATAGAAGACAGGTTTCAAAACCTATAGGATCAAGACTCGATAACATAGAAAGTAAACTCGGAAACCTAGAAACAGGTTTAAACTACACAAAAAACGAAATTAATGAAATATCATTAAAACAAAAGGACCAGGATGACAGAATGAACGTTCAAAAAGGAAAAACCTAACATTATATGGAATCCAAGGTAATGAGAAAGAAACTTTGGAAGAAAGTGGATCAAAAGAGAAAGATAGTATTAAGAACAGCTTAGAAATAGAACATGATATTGACACGTTGATTCGTCAAATTCACCGACATTACGTCGGTTAAGCACGGGATTTTCTCATTGGTACAAGGCGGTCATAGTAGAAATCAAGATAAGTAAAAGAGATCGACTTGGGCAAGGCTAAACTATGAGAATCAGGAGACATCTCCATTGGAATCAAAAACCATGCACCTGTTGGAGAAAGTGCCAGGATATGACATATTATTAAGTGATTATATAAATTGAATTTCATGTAGAGCTGCAAAACATCAGACACAGCAGATTCCTTCTAAAGGACAACTGAAATAGATTTTCTCAACTTGCAGGTACAAAAATGAGGTTTTCTCCATTGTAAGCCCAACGTAGAGTTCTTGCGATAGTCATCATAAAATAAACGTTAGATAACTGCTAACGGTCATAGATAACGAAAGAAAACTAACTGATCAATCAAATTGGCCCCCACGTGATTAGTAACGTCATATACAAAATATAGCTTTGGTTTATTGGTTCCTTAGTAATCACAACATCACTGCAACCATAGGATTGTTGTGTAAACAAATAACAAAACATTTTGGTATTATGACGTCATGATCTAATGGACCAAAACGGGCCACGTGGGGAGCAGTCAGAGATCAAGTGGGGGCCAATAACGTCACAACCAATTCGAATATTGCTTATTAAGCAGATATAATAGTACAATAACGTCATTTCTAAGGGCAATATAGTGAAATATTGGACCGAGGGCCGATGCTCGCAGAAATGACGTTATTAGTATTATTACCACCGTTAACGACCAGGACTGAAACAGCAAGAAAATCTTACGCATTGAACGATATCTAATTTCGCGGGGAAAATTGCCGGTCCAGAATATATTCTAGACCGGTCCATATGGACCACCACTATGACGTCACACATTTCTCAGGTCGATATAGTAAAATGAATGCCTTCTAAACTAGCACTAAAACCCCTAGAACTGGTCCGGCAAGGTGGTAATAATGATCGTTAGAGTGAAATAATTTTCACACTACTGATGAGAAAACATGTCCAAATACATTTATCAAAACATTATATTGATTCCTTTAGGTTAAAAATACCATTTCATATCTGCTTTAATAAAAAACAAATATTATAAACGGAAACATGATATGGAACCAACATTTCAAAGAACCATGTGTGATGATGCAAAACCTTTCACTTCTGATTCAATGAAAATATAAATATGCTGACCAATATATACACGACAGCAGATGCAAGCATGAAACAAAAATTACCGAGTAAACATGCCAAAAACAAACCCCAACAACCAGAATGGTGGGTTAACGAACTACGAACGACTATCTTGCGCTATGGATCAGAGATGTGGGGATATGATGATGTAGTGTAATTGAATATACAAAATTTTGTACAATTTTATAAATATTATATAGGTATCCGATCAAAATTGCAGCAGCATTGGGCGAATGGGACAGACTTCCCCTTATATGCTGAGAACCATAAAACACTGGATAAAATTAACAGAAATGTCTTATCATAGACATCCAAAATTATGTTATACTATGCATTACCAACTAGATCAATATGGGAAAACAACTTGGGCATCAAAATCAAATATTTACTTTTTCACTGGAATTTGAACATGTATGGTGCTTAGCAAAGTGTAGGGAACCAATTATATTTTATTGTTATATGTAAACAAAAACTTATGAAAGCTAAGGGAAGACTTGGGAAAACTAAGGGAATACCCTAAACTGTAAACACACGCAATTAAAAGCTATTTTGGAGTTTTATTTATTGTGTAATTTAGAATATAGATGTATTAAAGCTCTAGCAAAGTCTAAAATTTCAAACTATTGTTTTGAAATTGAAACGGGAAGACACCGTACTAATATTGTAAGAGACAATAAAATGTGCAATTGTACCATAATAATAGAGGATGAGTATCATGTATGTTTGTATCATTGTAGACAAAGCTACATATTATAAAATGTTCCGAAATACCTTACTGTATTTCTCAGCAAGCATGACCTAAATGACACGCGTGACTCAGGTTAAGCCTACTTTTGTCCTGGGGTTATTCTCCTTAAATCTATCATAGTCTATGTGAAGGAATCACTCTAATACTTTATCAGGCGCTAACCTCCCCCAAAATATATTCTTTGAGTTTACAAGTGCATCAAATTGGAAATGGGCTTCTACTGACAGTGTGATGTTGGTCACTTGGCGTTTGTTGTTGAATTTGTTGTATCATAGTGACTATCAACCCGATGCTCGTAATATATAGTAGGATGGTAGGAGATTAAAAATATAAACTATTTTTCTATGATAACTACACTTATTCCTTGACCTTTTTTCACACAAATTGGGTGCTATTGTGTGCTAAAACTGTGTTATTCACAATTCATATTGGCATTTTTGTTTGCTGTCGGTTTTTAAAACTAAATAGAATTATCTTACCAACACATTGGACTCCTGTTCCTTTGTAACCGTCTTTACACTTACATGTAAAGGTACCTTGTGTATTGGTGCATGTAGCATGGACGTGACAATTATCGGTATTTTCCATGCATTCATTCACATCTGAAAAGGGTGTTGCATGTATTTGATTTATTCCATAAGAATTCTAGTTACATACTGTAAATGTGTGAATATTTTGGACAGACAATGTTTAATATACTTAGGATGTACAAGTCAACAAAATATATGGCGATTACTTTAGCGAATTTCGAAGTTAATCATAATGTTATTACATTAAAAAAGGACTAGTTTACCCATGCAAGATGTCCCATCGCCTGTGAACCCTGGTTTACATGTACATGTGTAAGAGCTAGGGGTATCAGTACACACAGCATTTGCATGACAGTCATGCTTCGATGACGTACACTCATTCACCGATTCATTTTCAATTTCTTGGAACAAAAATTAATAATACTGAAGTGAACTTAAATTTGACGTCGAGTGCGTTTAAATATAAAATAAACCTATGGGTATCTTGTTGTTTTCTTTGTACCCTCTATCCCTACGTATACTTTTAATTAAAATAATATATTATCCCTTTTCCACCCACCATCTAAACATTCCATTTTGACAAATACACTGTCATCCAATGTGAGAGTTCTCCTGTTAATGTTTTTCCAATCCCCAGATGTCTTACTCGGATCCATTATAAAACTGTCCATTCCGACTACTCCCAATCGTATATCTCCGATTGCATCCCCGATGAGCCAAAGTCTATGTGATTTGTGAAGTGCCTTGGAAGCTATGTACTAAATCAAATAATAACTCATAAACAAACGTGCAATCGCGTCATAAATAATGGTGATTATTTACTAAAGTTGTGAAAAATAAAAACATATGGGAAATATATTCAAACCTTGGGAGAGTGGTCCCTTTGTCCAAAGTAGACGGGTCTGTCAGCAAAGGACATCGGCAACAACGAATACGTGTCTTCTACAGCCACATTTGAGCTAGTCACCTTTATTGATGAACAATGAGATTCCCCTGCAAAATATGTCAATACCAAACTTGATACGGATATTGAACTACTAAAGTGTATGACAATGCAGTAAAATTACCATTTTTGCTTCAATAAAATGTATCCACAAAACAGCAATATGTTGCAAATGGATTGCCTCTGTCCTAGGTGATTTTGTGATTCCATAATTTTTCTTCAGTTGATTTAATTTTTAGAGCTAGAAAGAAAAATTCCAATGTGAATTCATCAGGACACAATCTATTAGATTTTTTAAGTGAACAACCGATGGAAATCAACAAATTATGCATGGATTGACCAAAGAGGTTTTCATAAACAATGCAATTATACAATCCTATCAACTAATGCTGTTGCACATACTCAGGGATAATTTCAAATCAATCTTATTGAGGAAATGGACCCTGTAATCATCAATCTCGAAACATATTCAAATAATGATCGTGATAGTGATTACTGACTATCTAGTTGAGTTCTTATAAAAAGCTTAGATTATACCTTTGAGATGGTCCCTTGTAGCACATACCCTCCATACCTATGCATATGACGTGCAACTGCAATAAACATACGTTCTCCCCGATTTGCATATTTTTGATTTTTCTTTACACCATTTTCATTAGACTTTTGTTTTCTGGCTTTAAAAATTAAATCAACTGAAGAAAAAAATTATTGAAGTAGAAATTCATTGGGGGCAGGGACATTATGTTTGCAACACATTGCTGTTTTGTGGATAACTTTTGAATTGCAAATTAAAGCAAAAGTGCTCATTCCTAATGCATTGACATAGACTTTAGATGTCTTAATGACTGTGTCGTTTAAGGTAGAACTTCAATGTCGCCTAACTTGTTTCTACAATTCAGATTTTCGTGAGAAAAATCAATGTGTGTAACACAATCAATATCTGAAGATTAGAAAAATCAACTGTTTATTTATTTCTGAAAAAATGTTTTAATTTAGCGTTGCTCTCAATGGAAAAACCTTTTTTTATTTTCCAAAACATTTACACAATTCAGAACTTTTTCAAAAACTTGTGATTATACAAAAAATGTTAAAAATAATATTTTTGAAAATTTACCGTCCGGATCTTGAGGAAAAAATGAAATAACTTTGAAAAATATGAATCAGTGGAAAATATTACGATTTGTAGAAACCCAATCCAGGAAGCATACCGTAGATGGCAGTGGCATGGAGCTTTACATCCGCTTTAAACATGCTTCCTACTCTTACTGACCATGCCACGTGCATTTGTGAAGGATCACTGGAGCTATCTGCAGTTGCCTTGGCCACGACGCCAGTCAACACACTGTTTATATCTTTTCCCACCATCCATGTGTGTTCTCTTATCTTTTTATGATATATATATAAATCGTTTGAACTATGTTTGTAAATTGGTCGGTCGTATTGTGTCTTTGAAGTTAACTTGTAATATCCTTCGATTTTCGGTGAGCCATTTAATGACATATCACTTAGTCTGATTCCCCGTGGAGGTTTAGCTAGAAAATAAAAATCGAGGTACTCAAAATGGTGGAAAGAAATGAAATACCCCAATATGGATAAATAACTGCAGACGCATTGTTAAAATATATACTATCAAACATCTAGAATTTGAAGAATGATTTATAAAGGTATACATTACTCATTTTAAGTCAAATGCATAAAACATGCTGGGAATTATTAAACATGATATAACCAAGATGAGAATTAACATGTATTTGTTATTTAGGGCATTCCTTTATTTAATATTAACTAAAGCGTAATGTACCCACCATTCAAACATTGAACGACCATTGATGTTTTTGCCCATTTGTTTTTGTATCTCTTATTAAAGAGTGTAGAGTCTTCCGGAAAGTCCACCTGACTTTTGAGTAGTAAGAAAACCTTATCCATATCAGTGTTTCCAATGGTGTTGCCAATGTACCAGCACTGCTTCCCATCATTATATTCATCAAAAAAGATGTACCGGAATTCATAGTCATGTCTATATGTAGGTCTACCTTTGTGAAGAAGAATATCCATGTGGTAGATTCCTTCCATGTAGGAAAATTCTGGGTCCTCTATGCCAGATACTAACAGTTTTTTACATGGTTCCCTAAGAACCTCTGGAAAGGAGAGAATACTGCACATTTGGCTCATTTTTAAAGTTCCACATCCCATTGACTTAATGTAAACGACCTTATGTTGAACACGAGTCAAGGTAAATTTTGCAATGATGGGCATTTTGACTTTTACGTGGACGGCCTGTTTTATATCTTGTTTTCAAAGATATAAAAATCATCCGAAAACAGATTATAATGATTGGTCACTAACTTTTTTTAGTAATTTTCTAGAAGTACTGTATTTTTATGCGAGTGCATTGCTTCAGTGTGTCAGATTTGATTATATAAAATTGTGTTACTTTCAAAGACTTTATATTTTGGAAATATATCAAACTCTCGACTCATGGATTTCATGGATTTGGTACTTCATGGTACTTGCAAAAGCCTACTAAAAGAAGGCTTACTTCTTCTTGAATAATACTGCATTTGCATTCCTCTAAATGTGGTAGAAGCCTGTGGAAAAGTTCTGAACAGCACCATCAGTTCATTATACGTTGACACAAAAGTTTTTGTTGGTAATTCAGCACAGCAAAACCTAAAACATGCAATTGAGTTTCTACAAGTGTTCTATACATACGAAATAAAAGTGAAAAGAATACATACTTAAATTACCATTTAGGAATATAATAAAAATAATAACTTGCACTTGACATATAAAATAACTTGTCATAAACAAAAATGAGAAAATACCAAACAACAGCAAGGACAATAAACATTGAAGAGCACTTACCTGGGTCCCATTTCATCAACTCTATGGTGTCGGACTTCAACCCATTCATTCTTGCATTGCATTTCAACCATGAACATATTTGAATAACTGCACCCTAGGTTGAATGTCACAAAGCTTGCAACTACTTCATATCCATCTGGTGTCTGAAAAGAGTATAATGTAAGATATCCTGTTCATCACCAATTATTCTTCCTTTGGAAATGGTTACTATATTCATGCTTTGTGAAAAAATAAATATACAGTTTCAGTTCAATTATTTGAGTTTGAGTTTTATGTTCAAACTCAATATATTAATTCAATAGTCAAAGAATGCAAAATATATTATAGAAATCAACTAACTGTAATAAGCCATGTGCATTTCGTATTAATTTTGTAATATCGTGGATGTCCTGGAGTCATAATGTCATCTTTGATTGTGGTCATTGCTTCCCTTAAACCTCCACATTGTCCTGAAAACGGGAAATTGTTTACTTATTTTTAAAAGCTTGATGAACGTGGAGTAGTTTGATAACTCATTAAAAAAAAGCTGATGATCATATGAGAAATTAACAAGATAAATCAAAATCACGGTAAGTTTAGACAGTGATTTTTAGAGGAGATGAAAAGGGTGCAAAGGTTTTTGTATAGTGGTATGAATATGATATGTTATCTAATACTTAAAAACGCATCACTTTAAGTTATATCAGCCAATGAACAACCACCAATGCAAATATATCCTCAAAAAGATGATATCATGAATCATGTTTCCTAAAATACTCTTGCATCCAAGTATCATTCACTTACAAATATCTGTTTATATAATACTACGTAACATTATCCTCCACCCTGGCATTATGCGTTATCATGCATCCTAAGAACACCACTTATATCATCATAATATCATGACTTTAATAATACCTTATAATCATGATATCATATTTTCAACATTAAAGCATAATCGTGAAATGGTACAATAATGTCATTTCAAAGGGCAATATAGTGAAATATTGGAGCAAGGGCCGAAGGTCCAAGGTCCAATATTTCACTATTTTGCCCGCAGAAATGACGTTATTAGTATTATTACCACCGTTAACGACCAGGACTGAAACAGCAAGAAAATCTTACGCACTGAACGATATCTAGTTTCCCGGGGAAAATTGCCGGTCGTTAATGCATTCTCGACAGGTCTGAATTCTTTTCAACATTCAACATTTGGTCACTTGACCACCACAATGACGTCACATATTGCTCAGGTCGATATAGTAAAATGAACGCCTTCTAAACTAGCAATAAAACCCCTAGAACTGGCCCGGCAAGGTGGTAATAATTATGATTTTAAAATTACCTTGTAATAATGGTATCATGATGATACCATAATAACGCTCACTTACCTCCTACAGATGGGGCCACTTGGTCACAAAACTGCCCACTCCAACCATCAAGGCATTTGCACGAGTCGCATCTGTTCGGATCTCTATAGCCGTTGTTTTTACAGGCAACCCAATCGAGTGTCTGATATTGTTGGGACTCTTTACAGGAATCTATGTTCAAAATATGTTATCCATTTATAATGATATAGATGATTTGATTTGATTTATCTCTGTCGGTATTACTATTATTTGATTGCTATTGCAGTCTTATTGCAATATAAAGTTGATACTGTGTTAACTGTTTATAAGTTATTCAGTGGACATGTTGTAGCACACAGTCGTTTACTCTTTCAAACTGTTTTTGTCCTTAACATTCATATTTCACGAAGAACAACAGATGGACATAAATGATTTAGTAAGAAAACAAAGAAATGCTTGTATTGGTATTATTCCCACATAATCTTGGTCAATGATTTTGCTACAACCACATAACAATGAAATATAAATCCAATTAGTGAAATTTGAAAAAGTGGGGATAGGGGAGAAAAAACACTATTTCGAAAAGTCAGTAGCATTTGCAAATATTTGTCAATTAACTTTATTTTACCTTTTAAAAAGTATAGATTTTCATTAAATAAAGCATTATGACTTTTTATTGTCATCACTTGGACCCCCTGCAGGCTACACTAGTTGGGCGTCCTGGCCAATATATACGAGGGAAGATCCAAACGTTTCCGGCCTAACATAGTTCCCGATGTCTGAGAGCAACCACAGTTCAAATGTTGCTTATGTATGAACATAATTTATGCATATGATTAACCTCTAGGGGTCACAGCCTAATTTGAGAATATTCATAATGAGGTCAGGTCACAGTGGCTGCACATCAGTGATCACAATGGAGAAAACTGAATATAGAGCTGTAATAAAGTTTCTATATCAAGAAGAAAATGGAGGGCAGGAAATCTACGATAGACTTAAGGATGTGTATGGGGAAGGTGCTCCCTCCTATTCTACTGTAAAATTTTGGGTGGCTGAATTTAAACGTGGACGGGAATCAATTGATGGTGCACCACGTTCTAGAATACCTGTCAGATAGAAATGTTGATCTTGTACATCGAACAATATTGGAAGATAGGCGGAAATCTATACGTGAACTTGTAGAAGAAACTGGATTATCATATGGTACCGTTTGTAGAATAATTCATGAACATTTACACATGCAAAATTTAAGCTCAAGATGGGTACCCCGTATGCATACAGAGGACATGAAAACAAAACGAGTTGCTGTTGCAAGAGAGCATTTGGACATGTATAACACTGATCCACAAGGTTTTATGGAGAGAATAGTCACTTTTGATGAAACTTGGGTGCGTCATTTTGAGTTCAACCAAACATGAGTCAATGCAATGGAAACATATGGGGTACCCACCCCCAAAGAAGTTTCGCACCACCCCATCCAACAAAAAGATGATGGCCACCATTTTCTGGGACTGTGAAGGTCCTATCTTAGTAGACTACCTTCCAAGAGGTACTACAATGAATGGAGAATATTATGCTGCTTTGTTGCGTACTTTAAAAGTTAAACCTGATGAAACCAGGCCACACAAAGTCCGTCTTGGAGTTTTGCATCAACAGGACAATGCACCTGTTCACACAAGCCAAGTTGCTCGTGATGCAGCGGAAGAATGCCATCTGGAATTATTACCGCACGCACCCTATTCTCCAGATCAAGCACCCAGTGACTATTACCTATTTGGGAAACTCAAAAATCTCTACGAGGGCAACGCTTTGATGATGATGATGATGATTATGAGGTCAAGATAGCTGTTAACCAGTGGTTGGAGGGTCATGCTCCTGATTTCTTCAGAACTGGACTTGAGATGCTGCCAAGAAGATGGGCCAAGTGCATCGAAGTACAGGGAGACTACATTGAAAAATGACACTATCATTTTGAAAATCCATTAACTAGAACTATGTTAGGCCGGAAACTTTCGGATCTTCCCTCGTATGTGACCGAGATGAACACGTATGTGAGGAATATTATCGAGTTTATTGTTTATTCCGACTTAAAAACCAAACATCAGTTTTATCTAATATTGCGACAATGCAACCGGGAACGTATGACGTCACTCCTAAGGTAGGCGGCATACTTATCTTTTATGTCATTATAGAAACAGCATTATGCATAAATAAACATACAATACAATCATGGAAGTTATCGGTGACTTTTTAACCAAATCAAGAAATTACAAGACTTAAACGAACATGCCTAAAAATTCGATTGTGCAAAATTTTACCAATGTAATTCATGGAAATTGTTGAAACATGTTAGGTATTCTTAAAACAGCTTTCAGTTAGAGATACAAGTTTAAAACCCTACCATATGACAAATGGGATACTATTTGAGCAGAAAACACATTTCACACTTTCATTGATCATTTTGAAGCCGTTTTAATTGTTCAACAGTTAAGGGACATGTTACCTACACAAATGGATAGAAGGGGACAAAGTTGCCCCCTGTGACCAGGAGTCTAAGAAGCTCTTTATCAAATATCTTTAGAAAATCAAAAGAAAATCTAAAATTCAATGTTTTGAGCCATAGTACGTTCACTAGAATTGGACCATGGTTAATGAAGATATTGACATTTCAGGATCATATAGGGGTATGTTGCAATTTCGCTTGGAAGAGTTTTCGTCTATGGAAACTTAGAACATTTCTTTGGATCACAATATCTTTGCAACTAACTGAGGTAGGATGCTAGTTTTTACACCATAATGTGCATGATTCAAAACCAAACAAAGTCAAAAAATAATGGCTCTTTAAGACTACAGCTAAAAAAAATGCCAGGGGAAGGGTGTTGATGGGTTGTATAATCGCGGATGCTGAAAATCACATTTATCCATTTTCAGTAATATTTGGTTAGGGCTTATGCTTTCTGCAAATTTCAAGACTAAGAAAAATGTATCGTACCAACAAAAAATTTAGACCCTACTCTACAACATGTGAAAATATGAAAGGATTCCTGAGAGTAATAAGGGAAATATGGCCCGTTGCAGGGGTTCACTTTTTTGGACCACCCTGTATGCCATATTCCTTTATAACATTTCAAATCTTATATCTCCCAAAAGATCCATGATGTTTTAAATTGGTGATGTCATTAAGAATTCAAAGCGCCAGAAAAATATTTAAAGTCTCCAAAGTAATTAAAAATGTATTTAGAAAACATAACTTGGAATGATATGAGCCCACAATATTCTAAAATTGGATCTTGCTAAATCTGATTCTGCCTTGAAATACTAGTGTAGTGTTTTGCTTGAGACGGACACTGTTCAACAATATTCATAGCTGAGCAACTTTCACTTCAGCCTTTGTCATTGAAAGCCACAATGCCAAAAATATCAACTAAAAAGTTGAACCAGAATTGGCATCGTATTAGAAAAATACATTGTCAGATAAGTTTAGGGACATGGTGATAGAATGCTACAAAAATAGTATAAAACTGGATATCTATGAAATAGTATTGTTTGAAACAAATGTTTGATGTGCTTTTCTTTTTATTAACAAGATGTGTCTGATCAAAATCAAATGCATGAAAATGAAATGCTGAAGTGTGTTGGAACATGGATTTGTTACAGATAGATGTTTGATAGACCTGATAACGTTGGCAATTTTCAAAGTAAAATAAAACAACATTTAAAAAAATTAAGTGTCATTTTCGCAGTAAAGTTTAACACATTTTAAGCGCCATTTAGACAGTAAAGTTTCAAACAGTTTAAGTGCCATTTTTATGGTAAAGTTTAATTGCCATTTTAAAGTTTAATTGCCATGGTAAAGTTTAAGTGCCATTTTATTAATAACGTTTAACAAAGTTTAAATGACATTTTCACAGTGACGTTTAAAACAGTTTAATTTTAACAAAGTATAACAGGTGTGTGACAGGTGCGGGTGATTTATCGATCTTTAACATTATTTGCTATTGATCATTATCAAAACCGATGTAACAAAAACGAATGCCCTGGAGTTGACATGAAATAAACAGTCATACCTGAACAGTAAAATGTATTGATAATCTTCATATCAAGAAAGGAAAGCTCCACCCTTTGTCCTAATGACCTCTCATAATCGGAATCTTTGGTTAGAATTGTGTCCTCTCCATAATTTGAGAATGCCTATAATATCAAAGTATTTGACTTATGAAAGTAAAATCTAACGATTTTCACAATTTTGTTATTTGACGTTTGACCTGATTTAAAGGAATATTGAGAATATCAATTCATGATTAACCCGCGTTTTAAAGGATCGTGAATGTCGAATTGCTACTATTCTAGTATATGAAATTGTGGTATTAATGTAAAGATGGCATACTAGAACACACCATTCAGCTTTTGACATAGACATTTGCTTCTGTTTTGAAAAGTAGGTCACCCTTTGTAGAAAGAGCAGAGTAGCGAAGAGGGTCCCACTTAACATACTTATACTCGTAAATTTAACGGGAATGGTATTAATTATGTCTCGGGTGGGATTTAAATCTACATTCCATGTTACTGTTGTAATTGAAATGTAATATTGTACATTAATAGAAAAAATACCTATTTACAATAAATCGAAATATAATGAAACAATTTAGATTTAGACATTGAAATATTAACAAGGTCACTGATACATTATCTCGGCCCTTTTTATTTACCTGACGTCCGTAGTGCATCGCCGAACCAAAGTCATAAGCTGCTCCTAATGCTGACATTCTATCTTGCAAAACAATGTCAAAGTTTGTTAGTGTTGTTGGTCCTTTCTTTATATTTGCCCTTTGAATTGATATGTAGCTTCCTCTGTCAGTTCTTGCATGCTCATGCCACAGCCCGAGAGAATGACCGATTTCATGGGCGACCTGTCCCAACTAAGAAAACAATGTTATCTCATCACAAATCCTAAGTTTATAAGCTAATTGGTACATTTGGATCATAATGGGAAAATGCAAAAGTAATACAACAAAATGATTTCACACAAAAATTCTAAATGTTAAGATTTTCTACAAATGATTCAGCCATCGACAACACAACAAGTACACTATAAAGAAAACAGTGTCAGATATGAAAATATTGAATTTTATCTCATGGATACTAAATATATATGGGGATAACAACATAAGATAATTTTGGTGTACGACACTAAAATCGTATCCGATCCATATGACGTGATATCTTATCTTATTCCATAGTTAGCATGATATTCATAGGATAACATGTGAAAATAAAAGTATTTTTGTAATCAGTGGTAAAATATGATATTTTTGACAAATTTACACTTAACCATAACATACGGTTTTTTAGCCATGACATACGGCGCCGTATGCTATGGTTTGTGGATTTTTGCTACTTGAGACTCAAAACAAGGCTAAGTGTCAACATCGCCGGATCATTTGGAAAATTCGAATTAAATCACTTAATTTCCGACGATGCTGATGATGACTTTAACTATGGAATAAAAAGAACATCCTATGATTTACTCGTGATATGATTTTAATCCACTCGTGGATATTGGTATCTGCACTCTCTCGCTACGCTCGCTCGTGTAGATATCATATTCATTCGTGGATAAAAATCATATCACTCATAAATCATACGATATCCTCTATATATTTAGCATATAACAATTTCAGAAATTAGATATACCGGGAAAGGATACGGGATCTGATACGGGCTTTTTGCTGATACGGGATCCAATACGGGATTTTGGCTGATACGGGATCTGATACGGGATTTTTTGAATACCAATTTCATTCCTTGTTATTTTCCCGGGAAGACATGTTACATATTGTGGAATAATTCATCATATTCCTCAAATAAACATTTTAAAACCATCATCACAGTGTTTCGTTCGAATCGTTAATATATGACAACTTACATCTAACGCGTACACCCATTTATTTTGTCACTGTACGTGGTCGGTGGTAAGCGTGGGCTGGCAAAACAACCATTATTATTACCACCTTGCCGGGCCAGTACTAGAGGTTTTAGTGCTAGTTTAGAAGGCATTTAATTGACTATATCGACCTGAGAAATATGTGACGCCATAGTGCTGGTCCATATGGACCGGTCTAGAATATATTCTGGACCGGCAATTTTCCCCGGGAAATTAGATATCGTTCAATGCGTAAGATTTTCTTGCTGTTTCATATTTCACTATATTGCCCTTAGAAATGACATAATTGTACTATTCTCGTCACCATACTAGTCAATGGGCAAAAGGGCAAACACCTGACTTTTTATCTCGAGTTATGGATTTATGTGGCCCCACTGGCATATGTGAGGTTCAAAAGCAATATGTGACACTACCCCCTCTCTCTGCCGACAGAAACGAAATTTTGGCCGCTTATATAATTGTAAAAGTGCATGGATACGCATGGCAACAAAGCTGTTCACTGTTTTATGAACCAATGATGCCACGAACAAACTCTTTTAAGTGTGACTTTTAAGCATATGAGGGGGCTATATATTGAATTTGGCGATTTGTGTATCCTAGTAAGTTAGATGTAACACGAGGAAATGGTTTATTATTGGTTTTCATATGATATGATATTGCAAGCTCGTACTTTACCACATCCTGGTGAAATACTGATCTGGTTATATTGTTCTGGTTTAAGCCCAACGGGTGAGTTGCACCTGAAAATATAACGCATGTGGTATTTGAGGGATAGCAGTACTTTGATCTCATGATTCCATTTAAAAATTTGATTAACTCACAACTGAAAACCTATTTTATAACAAATAATTAACACATGTGTCTACTGTGCATTAACAATAGTAGCATAACCTGTCATAAAGACATTGATGTAACACGTTTACAAAATGCCCAACATCACAGACTGTTCCTTGCATATCAACGATCAAAGCAATTAACTCCAGTAAAATCTTAAAAAAATAAATGAAAAAATTACAATTCAAAATAAACCTAGAATAATAAATAGTCATTGGTGAGTAAAAAAGCATATCAAAAATCTAGAAAAATCTAAGTAGTGGAAGACTTCGAGGGACGAAGATACCCTCTTAACTACCAGTTAAAATCTCAAACAATGTATGTAAAAAGATCCCATTCGCCTCTCATTACGAAATTTATAGTCCTTCGTTTCAATATGCATTAGAGAAAGATAATAATTGACGGTTCTACTTAACTTATCAGGCTTCATGGTGTCTTGTAAAAATTCATGCTAGCTGACCTACGTTCAAAGATTAAGCCTTATTAATGTTTAACAGAAATGATATTGACCCAAGTATTGAGCCCTGGGGGACGCTATGGTTTATAAACTAAACGGTTTTACGGGAGTAATATACAATGAAGAAATGTACTAGTCCAAGACATGTATTTATCGTATGCTTTGTAAAATGAAGCCCTTTGATTGGTCAGTTCTTGTGCTGTTCCAATTTGTATTGCTACTGAAATTGTCCTCTCCGTAGCAATACAGATAATATTGGTACAGAGAAACAGCATCAATATAGATAATAGAGAGTATTTCAAATGAATAATCACCTAATTAAAATGTATTGAACTTAGATCACACGATAAAAACGTTATAGGATGATTTAAAGTGGAATACAGGATATTGTGCTCTCGATATTCTATATTGAATCGACTTTTTCTCGTACCAATACAGAATTTCTTGAGCAGAATACACCCTGTATTGCACTTCAAATCATTCAATAACTTACAGTATGTATATTTTTGTTAATAATAAACGATGGGTGCAATGCTCTTCAGTATTGTTAGTTAATGGGATAAGATAAAATATAACATGTTCAGTAAAACAATGGCCTGTAGTTTGTTATAGAGATTATCAATATTACTTTCAGATCACCTCGTTTTAATATATTCACAATGGTGATATGGAAGTGCGTTAGTATGCTGGGCCCGTATGACATATTTATCTAATGAGATCCTCGTTTCAAGCTCTCTCGGTCAATTCAAAATAAAACCCGTAATTTATTAGTAGGTTTAGATCGCTCTGGTAACAACTTTTAATTTTATATAATCATTCACAGATTGTAGTCCTCACTACATGTAAAGGTTGTTTCTAAAATACGTACATTAGCTAAATAATCATAGAATCGATCTGGCAGTTTTATTTTAGAGCGTATCCTGTAGATAACGTGATAACATTTTTTGTGAAGATACATTGATATACACTGTACCGTGTTGTATGCAAGAGCACCAGTTATTCCTAACGTAGGTCTATACGATTTACACATACATAAATATTGACAGCAATTGCAATGACTTACCCTCCGTTAGAGACGAAAAGCATTAGAGGAAGTTTAAAGTTCGTCACTTTGTTGAATCGTAAACATGTATTTTGCTCCCAATATGCGATGCCATCCTCTATCCATCGTTTGTTGCTTGCAGATACTAAAAAATACATTGAACTAAATGACTGATATCTCAGATTTTGTATTTGAGCCTTTTTATTGTGCAATGTGTCATATTCGTGGAGCATATTATATCTTTATTCCATAATACTACTGTTTTCGCTGGGAAATAAAATCGTATTGTCCCTCTTAAAATCATATACACTCGAAAAATCTTTTTTTTCCCGGGAAAATCGTAAATACTCAAAAAATCGTATTAACTCAAAAGTTGATTTGGTGTAAAAAATCGTTGAAACTTATCATAATCCTGAATCTACCCGGGACACTTGTAGCTGTTCATCACAGAATGGTTATAGTGCATCGAGTGGTTTTAATGTTTAACAGCAATAGTTTAGCCTACATGTATTTACTTGTAAACAGGGGCATACAAAAATTAAATTATGGAATAAAATGTCATTTCATGGTTGCTTTTCAATATGGATTTTATTCCACGGGAAATATGACATTGACCTCGGTAAATATTATATTGACACTCACTCGCTACGCAATTTCCTCGTATGCATTTGTTGTGGTTAAATACCCAAAATTGGTTCCTTGGTAGCCTTATAATGATAACCTAGAGTGCCCTGGTTGTGATTTAAACATATGGTTCCTAATAAACCTCTGTGATTCCTCTGTTTGCTTGGTTGTGCTTTAATAACCCCCATTGATTCATTAAATAACCTTAGCAACAACCCAGTATGTCCAGGTTGTGGTTTTATACCCCAAATTGGTTCCCTAGTAGCCTTTTATAGTGATAACCCAGTATGCCCTGATTAAACTTTATTAGAGATTTTACATTTTGGCATGCCATCTCCCGATACCTTGGTGAACTAAGTCATGTGATCATTTATATCCAATCAGAATGCATTTCTGCCACATAGTGATATAGACAGGTTCCAATTTCAGAATATCTCAAGGGAAAGGGTTTTTAAGGCATTTTTTAGAAAAAGCAACAGAGCTATTTTTTCTGGATCAGTTTTTCATGCTGATAAAGATATTAAAAGATGACAGCTCAACGGGGTGGTCACGACACTGAATTTTAGCGTTTTTACCCCCCTAGGGAATTATTTTAGGGGGTACTATAATATTAGTTCATAACTCAAAGGATATATAAACTATTGTTCTGAGTTCTACAGCATACATTGTTAGTACAAAGATGAATACTACCCTAAAGTTATAGGTTGATATCTTTGTTGGTTTCGGAAAAATACAATTAATTAGAAAAAAATATGCAATTTTTGTCATTTTTTTCTTGCTTATTTTATATTTGTAGCTTCAAGCAAATTATGATAACTTAAACAGCTCAAAGTAGTATTCTAACAACATTCCCAAGCTATGTGTGATATTGTAATACATCTATTATAGTGATGAAGTACTATTTTGTAATTTTAATATGACTTTATAGTGCCCTACCCCTGGTAAATAGAAGAAAGTTGGTGTGGTTTTCTTCTGGTTTTAACATTTTATTGTCTTCTTAGTTGAATATACAATCAATTCTGTCAGTTAACCATGAGAAACTTTACAATGGTTAACTATTCCCATGAATAGAGGGTTCGGACCTCAAAAATACCAGAACTGTTAAGTGGCATCCTTGGGCAACCCTCTTCAGAGCATTTTCCTTATATCATCCGATAAAATCTGCAGGGGACACTATAAGAAACCTATATATCTAAGATACTAGTAATGAAGATACTGAATTCAAATTTTCAGGATTTGGTCCTGGTATGATAGGTAATCTGTATGACAAAAATAACAAAAAGAAAAAACTCTGTTGCCATAGTAACAAGAATACGACACTATTTGTTTACTAAGAAATGTGTTTTAAGAGGTTTTGTCATTCTCTTCATATTTTTAATTCTAAATATGTCTACAATGTGGGATGATTAAAATTATGGTAAAGTAATCTTTTCTATTGTTCTATTGTTCTCTAAAACAGAAGTTGCTACGCTCTATTTGTCAGGAAATTAAAATGGAAACTGAAAAATGAGTTTCTTCCTACTGAATAGCAATTTGGTAGACCAAGGCTGACACGCACAGGAGAAAACGTCTATCAGTTCTATGTCATTTTGTTGTTATTTTTTTTATTTATCGTGCTCTAGGACTTATAACACCTAATGCCGAATCTTTTCCAACTGCAAAGGAAGGAACATTCATATATCTCAAATATCTCAACAAAGATTTGGACAATGATGATGAAACTCTAAGGGAAAATTAGACGAAACATTAATGTGAGTGATCCAAAAATAACACTTACATGTTTTGAAAAAGTTATGCTCTCGGGTGAATCAGTGCTCATTTAAGGATAGTCTGAATCAGGTGAATTTTTTAACCTAATTGTTCCCCTCCCCCAAACCCCCAAATTTTGACAATTGTCGAAAAGTGGCAAACAACAATTAAACAAACATCATTAAAGTTCAATATGGCTATTTCGCTTCTCTGTCATAAAGATATGGTAAGATCTCAGGTCAATCAATAAATTTCACAAGTGACACTCTATCTTATGAAGAAAATATTATCGTATTTGAAGACATGTCAAAAATTTGGTTGAAATAATTTTGTCACTCCTGATTTGACCTGGAAAGGTTCAGGTAAGTTATCACAAACAATTTCAGACAGTTATTAGTCAACATTTTTAGTAAAAAGTATGTTGATTGGGCCATTCCCTTTAATATCACTTAAGTCTGATTAATCAATTTATATTTACTTTTCTTGAAGATGATGAATAGATCTAAAAGATATACCCATGTTCATGTTCAGAAAATATTCATAATTCAAGTTAGAATTGTCTGAAGTTGTTTGCGATAACCTACATGCTCCTTTATAACACTATTATGTAAATACCTGTGTAAGTGGAACACTCTCCGTTCTGCGTTCCACTTAGAAGATGTTCCACTTACAGAGGTTTTGGGTTCACAGGGAACATACAAAATCAAATATAGGATTTATATGTATCATTGGAAATATGATTCTCCCTTCATTACAGGGCAGGTATATACCATTAATAATCCATTTATTTAACTCAAAAAGGTATCTGACATTCTTAATCCTCCTCATTCTGCCAAAAATGTTTTCTGATATTCTTAATCCTCCTAATTGTGCCAGTCTCAGGTACAAGGATTAGGCAATTAAGTTTTAAAGACTTGTTCCTACTGTTAATAATTCAATTGTTTTTAAATGACATTTTTAATCTTACTTATTAAGTTTGAAACAAACAGCAAGGGATATTAATTAGTGGTAGCATCACGTGTCCAGTTCTACAGGAGGTTAATCCAATTTTCTGAATGAAAATCTTATGAAATCTTAATTTGCTGATAATCAAATTAATTATTGGTTGCATCACATGTTGACCTCTACAGGAGGTTAATCCATTAAAATCCATTAAAATCCTAATTTGCCAATTATCACAGTATTACCTGTTTTCATACCCAGATATCATTGAAGGAGATTAATTCTGTTTACATATATCAATATTGAAATCTATGGAAATTGACTATTCCACTTAGCAGGTTAATTTTTCAATATGGGGTGTTCACTGTTCAAGTTTGGAGGTGTTCCACTTACAGAGATTCAATTAACATTAAGTCAATGGGTTTTTAAAACGGGACTTTGAAAAGGCGTTCCACTTGGGAGGTGTTCCACTTACAGAGGTGTTCCACTTAGCAGGTTCTACTGTACATTACTTGTGCATGATGACCACCATAGTCTAGTTGCTCAAATGAGATCAATTGATGATTATAATGTTTAGACTTTATGTCAATATCCAGACTGTATGCCAACCTCTCTAGTATGTGATTTCACTAGATTTCATTATGATACATGTACTTAATTGAAAACTTACATATAAAATATCTTAAGTCCGATATTCTAGTAATAAATGAATTAGAATGTCACCTAACATTTGATGATGGTATGAATTTATTGATTTTGTGTCTATCAATACATGTTTCTAACTTAATGCTGCAAAATGATAAAATTCACCACATCCACTTTCTTCTATTTACCAGGGGTAGGGCATTATAAAGTCATATTAAAATTACAAAATAGTACTTCATAACTAAAATAGATGTATAACAATACCACACATAGCTTAGAAATGTTTTTAGAATACTACTATGAGCTGTCAAAGCTGTCACATTGTGCTTGAAGCTACAAATATAAATTGGCAAGACAAAAATTGCGTATCTTTTTCTTGTTTTTTGTATTTTTCTGAGACCAATAAGGGTATCAACCCATAACTTTAGGATAGTATTCATATTTGTACTAGCAATGTATGGTGTACAACTCAGAACAATAGCTCATATATCCTTTGAGTTATGAACTAGTTTCATAGTACCCCCTAGAATATTTTCCTAGGGGGGTAAAAATGCCAAAATTTAGTGTCGTGACCACCCCGTTGAGCTGTCATCTTTTAATATCTTTATCAGCATGAAAAACTGATCTAGTGAAAATAGGTCTGTTGCTTTTTCTAAAAAATGCCTCAAAAACTTGAATTATTTGAATTGGAACCTGTCTAATAGCATAGTGATCCAAAGCTAAACCAAGGTGTAGGAAGGGTTTATATTATCATATAGAAGGGATGCACTTAACTTATTGGCCATGGTTGACATGCATGTTTGCAAACTTAGTACTTGCACCAAGAGCTCTGACTGGCATCCTAACAAAATAAATTCATACTACACTGATGCCTGGGTCACATTTGCTCCGTTTGTTCAATATTGTATTTAATTTTGAACAAAATACTCAATCGGCATGGCGCCGTAGTGAAAATCGGAGCAATCTGCATTACTTGTACACAATGTATACCAATAGCCCATTTTCAGCATAGCAATTTCTAAGAAGGGTTTCCAAAATGCTCCATCATGGAATACCTTGACCCTCTCTTCTTACATGATAGACACAGACATGTTTCTAGATGCGATGTGTACCAGAAAGAAAGCTCTGGATTCTTCCTAACTTGGCGGGAGGGTGTAAAGTACTTTCTTGATTATTAAAAATAAA